ATAGCGGAGGACCCTCTTGGCTGCAGACCAATGCGAGGCGCGACTGCAGGGTGGAGCACGTCGAAATTCCGACGACTCTAAACGAATGTCGCGACGATGAAGTGCGCGTAGCGCGGGCACGTTGAGATTAGGACCTTGATCCTCGTGTGCGGATAGGTCGCTCTGATACCATGTAAGAAATAGAGTTGAAATGATTGATTAGGTAAGGAGCCCAAGGCTCTATAAGTACATGGCAAGGTGAGAGTGAATGGATGAAAGGGGAATTGGAGGGAATCCCCATTGGGATCTCCGAAATCTCCAATTGGGTAATTGGAGATTGGGGGGATCACAATTGGGTGAGGTTGGGATTTGTGAGTACACCCCAACCCACTAGAACATTCATAACCTAAACTAGGATATAAAAGTACAAATACAAAAGTGGTATTTGCAGTCTATTTCTAACAGCTATACGCAGGGTGATTCTATATTCTAGAAGGGTCTATTCCCTTTGGATAGGATAAACCTGGTTACCTGATGTACTCTGGAAGTATAAAAGTGCCTTGTACTGATCGATAGTGCAATCTTTCCTCGAGTCATTCGATCCTGTGACAAGCTGCCTGCCGCCCGTCGATCGCAGCCCGCTGGCCGCCCGTAGCCACCAGCCGGCCGTAGCCGCAAGCCTGCTGGCCGCCCTTAGGGTTTAGGGTTTAGCCCGCCGCCGCCAGGTGCGCGTAGCCCGCTGGCCGCCTATCGCCGCCCGTAGCTGCTGGCCGCCTGTCGCCGCCTGTAGCCGCTGGTCGCATTCTGCCGCTGGCCACCTATAGCCGCCAGCAGACTGTAGCCGCCACGCTTAGCCACCAGGTGCCCGCCGCCTGTCGCTGCAGCGCCAGCTGCCCGTAGCCCGCTGGCCGCCTGTCGCCGCATATAGCCGCCGCCCGCCGCCACTGGCCGCCCCTTGCCGCCAGCCCGCCTGTCCCCGTTGGCCGTCCGTTGCCGCCAGCGCGCTCATCATCGCTGGCCGCCCGCTGCCGCCAGCCGCCCATAGCCGCTGGCCGCTCGTAGCTGCCAGCCGCCAATAGCCGCTGGCCGCCCGTAGCCGCCAGCCGCCCGTTGACGCCAGCCGCCCGTTGTCGCTGGCCGGCCGCTGTCGCCAGCCGCCCGTAGTCGCTGGCCGCCCCTCCTCGCTGGCCGCCCATTGCTGCCAGCCTGCCCGTAGCTGCTGGCCCGCCTGTTGCTGCTCGCCCGTCATCGCCGGACGCTTGTAGCCGCCAGCCGCCCCACCCCCCACCCCGCCAGCCTTGGCTTCCCCTCTGAGCCGGCTCTCCCACCGGCAGTCTCCACCGCTCTCCACCGCGCTTCACTGCTCTGTACCACACTTCACCGCTCCCCACCGCACTCCACCATACTCCACCGTACTCCACCGCTCTCCACTGCTTTCCTTCGCTTTCTCTCCTCCCCTTGTCAGAGGCAGTCAGCTGCTGCAGCCATGGTGATGGCGGACACTCTGCTCTGCCTGGACGTGGAGGGTAGGGCCGTTGAGTTTGAGGCGTGGCCCGTCGACCTCTGCCGCCACCTGACCGGGCAGCGCCAGGACGGCCACTCCCTGACCATCCACGTCGACGGTAAGCTCCCTCGCCCCGCCCCGCCTGCTGCCCTCTCTGACGCTCGCAAGCTCTGGGAGTGCAGGCATTGAGGAGGGTGCTAGTCCTTCGGGTACTATTGTGGCTTGTCCCGGTGGTCCTGGGGTGGCACCGGTGATGGAGAGGGTTCTCTTTCTAGGGGTGCTATCGTGGAGCATCCCGGATTTAGTCGTAGTGTAGCTAAAGGTTCTAGTGTCGGTGTAGAGCAGTAGCAGCAACAGTCGCCGCCGGTGTCTGTCCTTCAGCTCCTCTGTCTTCCCTCTCCTGACCGCCCGCCTGGCCTCCCCCGCCTATCTCAGGTCATGTTTTTCTTCCACCGGACTCGTATCTGGCTCGTTTTCCCCCGCGTTCTCCTCTTGTGTCTCCTCCTATGTCTCCTGACCCTATGCCTCTGTCCCACTTTTGGTCTCACCGTCCCTCTCGTGCTCGTCCTGTGTCTCCTGTCCCGCGCTCTCACCCTATGTTGCTTCGTTCCCATGCGTCTTGTCCTCTCCTCCTTCCGTTGCCTCTTCCGTCCTCGTTGGTTGTCGCTCCGCCTCCCCCATCAGACTTCCTCCGTGCTGCTAGTCCTCTTGTTCCTTGGGTCCTCGCGTCTCTAATTACCGACCCGTATATTCCTATCTCCAGTTTCGACACTCTTGTCAGCGCCGTCACTGACTTTGCCTCTACCCGCTGCCTTGACTACGCCACCGCTTTGGTCTCTGACCCTACCCATCCTCCGTCCGTCGTGGGTGCTTCTGCCCTTGGTAGTGATGTCCTGGAGGACTGGCAATACGAGCTTGTTTTCCTGTCCGAGGTCGCGCCTCATCTCTGCTCTATGCTGCTCGTCCCTGAGGGTGACCCAGACGCCTTTGACATCCCGACCCCTCGCACTTACGCTGAGGTGACCTCGGGATCCTGGGCCTCTTAGTGGGTAGCTGCCATGGACGCGGAGATGGCATCTTGGAGATCCACCGGCACCTATGTCGACGTACTGTAGTTCCCCCACGTGGGGTGAAAATAGTTGATGGCCGGTGGCTCTTCAAGGTGAAGCGCCCTCCTGGAGAGCCGCCGATGTTCAAGGCACGCTACTTTGCTAGAGGCTTGAGTCAGCACGAGGGTGTTGACTTCTTCCAGACCTTCGCCCCGACCCCGAAGATCACCATTCTTCGGACGTTGCTACACGTAGCAACACAACATGACTACGAAATGCGCTCTCTCGACTTCTCGACATCGTTTCTTCTTGGCAAACTTCGTGAGCAGGTCTACCAATGTCGCCCACCATGCTTCATTCACACCTTTACCCCGGGGATCCAATGGCTCCTCCGGCGTTCCGTTTATGGCCTGCGGCAGGCGCCTCGAGAGTGGCACAACACTCTTTATGCTACGTTAGCTGACCTGGAGTTCTTCCTGTCCTCTGCGGACCCTTCGCTCTTCGTTCGTTCAGGCCAAATAATGTTCTACATCCTTGTCTACGTAGACGACCTGGTCTTCACCACAGTAGACAGACACGCACAAGCCTCTGTGAAGGCCGAGCTGCTGAGGAGACACATCTGCACTGACCTAGGCGATCTGCGCCGCTACCTTGGCCTGTAGATCTTCTGGGATAGAGCAGCGTGCTCCATCACTCTCACACAGTCACACTTGGTGCGCAAGGTCCTTAAGATGTTTGGTCATCAGTTCTCCTCCGCACAGCCCACTCCTCTGCCAATAGATCACAGGCTCTCAGTTCCAGTCCCCTAGGAGTCAGTAGAACCTAGTGGTCCGTACACAGCGCTGGTGGGTTGCCTCATGTACCTGATGACTTGCACTCGTCCAGATCTCGCATACCCTCTCAGCATCCTGGCTTGATTTGCGGCGACATGCAGATACCGACCGCAGCACTGGTCGGTCGCTAAGAGGGTTTTGCGTTATCTAGCAAGTACATCGGACATGGGGCTAGTGCTAGGAGGACGCAGGCCAGTGGTCCTTACTGGGCACACAGACGCTTCATGTGCAGACGACGCTGAGACGCTCAGGTCCTCCCATGGCTACTGCTTTAGCCTTGGTGCAGGTGCCATCTCGTGGAGCTCAACTCGCTCGTCGCCTGTTGCCCAGTCTAGCTGTGAGGCTGAGATCTACGCCGGTGCCATGGCGGCTCAGGAGCTCCTCTGACTGACTTTCTTGCTCACCGACTTAGGTGAGCGGCCTAGCTCTGCCCTGGTCCTGTACGCTGACAAGACGGCCATGATCCTCCTGTGTCAGGAGCCTCGACAAGAAAGCAGAGCGAAGCACATTCAGCTGCTGTACTTCCTCCTGCACGAGCTGCTGCTGCGCCGCCATGCCCGCGTAGTACACTTGGCCTCATGTGCCAACACAACTGATATGTTTACGAAGGCGCTTGCGCTTATAGATCATCAGCGGCACTATGTCTAGCTTGGTCTAGTTCCTGTAGCTTCTCATTATGTCCAGCTTTGTTTAGTTCCTGCGCTTGCTACTATATCTTATATTACATTGACTGGCCTTGTGGCTCCTTTTCCAATGGCTGGACTAGTCGTGCCGCCCTGGATTACTCTTGTCTAGTTTGTACTCTTGCTGACTGGTCTTCGGGCCATTGCCTTAGAGGTTGGACTAGTAGTGCCACCATGAGCTGTGTGTTTCGAGCTAGTCGTTGCCCCTTGTCTAGCCTACGGGGTGTGTCAACATATGTTTTGTATATGTTATAGGCTAGATAGGTGCATGCTCATATAGAGTACAAGACATTTTGTTATATTCCCTTGTACCCCATCATTCTAGTTTACCTTTTAATATGAGAGCGAGTAGTCACGATACACTACGAACAGGTACATTCCGAATAGGTACTTCCTAGACTATAAATATGCATGTATTACTGAGTACTATTAATCCTTGTCATTTAAGACATTTCCAATACAAGGTCTTAAGTCTTCTCGTGGTTCCACCAACTCTAGATCTTGGCCACCCTAAACACGTGGTTCACTTCAACACCTTTATGCAATCAGAGAGCACTAAGCGTGATTGCGTACTGTACACCTGATTGATTAGATCCTGCCCTCATCGCGTAGTCATGTGGCATTTGAAGGGACGATTAGAAGAAACTAGTCGTAGATGTGAACAAAATTTTACAGTAAAAAAATTCAGATAAATATGAAAAATGAGGGGTCTGGAAAATTCCTGATCGTTCATCACGCGTACCAATTGCTCACCATTATTGATGTCTTTCATTTTTAAAAAGAATGTCCCTGCCTATGGGTGTAGCTAATCTGATAAACTTCATAGAGGGTATGTTCAAGGTCTGTGCGACTCGATCCTTTGTGCTGCTCTCTGCCACAATTTTCCCCTCCACGCTTTCTTCCCTGCCCAATATGTAAGCTGAGCACATCCTCATCTGTCTTGTGTCTCGGGGCTTACAATTGGTGCCGCATAGATGGCCCAGGGGCAGCAAATGGGTACACCGCCTGTGCACTTTTGTCGATTCTATAAGCAGTAGAAGTCGAAGTCCGCGTGACTTCGCATTCGCACGTCAGAGTCTGGCGCGATGGTAGCGCGGTCGGGTTACCATGCCGAAGCAGTTTCCGCCGCGGGCGAAGCCAGCGAAGCGGCACGTGGATCGGTTAGTTATTCGCCGAGCCACGTAGAAGCCGGCGAAGTCAAGCTACTCCACGACAGTGTCGTCGCACCGTCGCAGAGTGTCGCCGAATCGCAGCTCGCTAGCGCAAAAGCCCTGATCCCCGCCGTTAGTGCTGCGGCGGCTGCAGCAGCAGCGGCGGCGTCCCTTGCGGTGTCTTCCACGAAGCCGGCGAGTACCCGATCTAGCGTCTGTCGCGTCGTGGGTGCTTTGAATCGGCTCCTTTCCCGTGTACCCGTTAGTAGACTCCCTGTTAGTACTAGTACTAGTACTGCTTCGACCCTAACTAGCCGTTTTCCGCAAAGCGCGCCGAGTTCCGCTCTCGCGATCCTCGCTTCCCGCGCCGTTCAAATCTCCCACGATCCTCTTATTCGATACAGTCACATCGCGTACAGTCAACGGCTACTGTCCGCCTACTACGGATCCGCATCCTCCGCATCCTCCCTCGTCCATCGCGCTAGACCCACTCTGCTCCGCCCCCCATTCGCATTGTCCCCGTTAGTGGTCTCACCCGCTAACAGGATCGGTCCGCATGCCGTTGGATCACCCGCGTTCCACTCAGGGTCATCAGCAGCGTCTGCCGCAGGTGGCAGGGGGGGATCGTCACGGCAGGAGGGTAGAGTGAAGTTGCATCTACCCAAGCATGGCCCTCACAAGCTGCAGCCGCGGCCCCCGCCCCGAGCCCCCTCGCCCCGCGCAACGGCGCAACCCGCGGCTCCCCCTGCAGCCGCACCCAGCTTCCGCGGCCCCGGCGCCCCTCCTCGCTCCTCCGCCCCCAGCGGTGCCCCCAGCGGGTCCGCCGCACCCCCAAGTTCTGCAGCCTGTTCCGCCCACCGCCCCGCCCCCCGCTCCTCCCCCCGCCCTTCCCCCCATCCCCACCCTGCGAGACATTCTGGTGGCGAATCCAAGAATGCGAAGGCGAAAGGAGTGACTGAAGGGGGGATGACGTCAGGGAAAATGCGAAAGGACAGTGAGAAGTCGGCCCTCTCGTTAGCGTCACCATCTCCATTGTCACGATCTGCCACATCCGCAGCAGCAGCAGCAGCTAGAGGCGCAGTCAGTGCGGCACGCGCAGGAGCTGAGAATGCTGCTGATGGGGCGACAGACGCAACTGGCAGCTCACAGGTAGATATGGAGGGGGAGGGTTTGCAGTTCAGGGTTCAGGGTTTGAGGAGATGGGAAAGATAGGGGAAGCCATGGGAGAAAGCGGCTGATGGGGCGACAGATGCGACTGGCAGCTCACAGGTAGATCTGGTGGAGGGGGGGAATCCATGTTGCAGAAAAACGTTTTTCCAGGCGAGTGTTTTGCACTAGCGCTTGAAACGCAGAATCCACATTTCTATCAACACATAGGGAAATGAAAGGGCCAGGCAAGGCGAAAGATGGGGGAGGATGGGAATTGCCATTGCAGGCGCTGGAGTGGAAAGCCTGAGAGACGCGCATCTGGCAGCCCACAGCTTGATCTGGAGGGGGAGGGTTCTGGGCCAGGGTTTGGGGTTTGAGGTAATGGGTAAGATGGGTGAAGCGTTGTGAGTTACCGTTGCAAACTCACGAGCTGAGAGAGTGGTGCTGATGGGGCAACAGAGGCAACTGGCAGCTCACAGGTAGATATCACGGAGGGCATGGGTTCGGGGTTTCAGGTTTAGGGTAAGGGGAAATGTGGGGGGAGGTATGGGAGTTAGCGTGCAAACTCACGAGCTGAGAGAGTGCGGCTGATGGGGCGACAGAGGCAACCCATTGCGTAAGGTGTGCCCCATAAGGTGTGCCCCATAAGGTGTGCCTCATAAGGTGTGCCCCATAAGGTGTGCCTCATAAGGTGTGCCTCATAAGGCGTGCCTCATAAAGCGTGCCTCATAAGGTGTGCCTCATAAGGTGTGCCTCATAAGGTGTGCCACATAAGGCGTGCCTCATAAGGCGTGCCTCATAAGGCGTGCCTCATAAAGCGTGCCTCATAAGGCGTGCCTCATAAGGTGTGCCTATCATGCCATGTGCCCTCCTGCCCATCTCATTGCAAAACATTCAGGTTGCCAGTGGGTCCAGCAAGGGCTTTATGGAGGAGTGGCAGCAGGAGCTGGCTCCGTTCCACCCCTTCTTGCGCTGACCATGCCTATCCTGCCACGCTCCCCTCCCTGCATGCCTCTCATTGCAAAGCATTCAGGTGGCCAGTGGGTGTGGGCCCAGCAAGGGCTCCAGGGAGGAAAGGCAGGAGGATCCGTTCCCCCTTCATCCCGCGTTGACCTGACCAGTGCCTATCATTCCACGCCCCTCTCCCTGCCTGTTTTCCTGCAAGGCATTCCGGTTGCCGGTGGGCCCAGCAAGGGATTTAAATAGGAGGAGTGGCAGCAGGAGCTGGTCCCTTCCCATCCCCTCCCGGCCTGACCAGTGCCCATCATGCCACGCCCCTCCCTGCATGCCTCTCTTTGCAAAGCATTCAGGTTACCAAGGGCTTTAAGGAGGAGGAGTGGCAGCAAGATCTGGCGCTGTTTGCAGGGGACAGCGGCAGGAGGGAGATGGTGCTGACGGGGAAGGAGAGCCGGCGGTATGAGCAGGATATCAAGAGGATTGCGGCCCAGTTTCGCATTCACAGGTGAGTTCTAAACCCTAGGGTTTTAGGGGTTTTCAAATTGAAGCTCAGGCAGATGGTGCTGACGGGCAAGGAGAACCGGCGGTGTGAGCAGGACATTAAGAGGATCGCGGCTCAGTTCCGCATTCACAGATGGACAGGGTCTAGGGGTTTGGGGGTCTAGGGGTTTGGGGGTCTAGGGGTTTGGGGGTCTAGGGGTTTGGGGGTCTAGGGGTTTGTTTGGGGGTTTTTGGGTGGTGAGGGAATCCAAGGTGAGGGAGATGGTGCTGACGGGCAAGGAGAACCGGCGGCACGAGCAGGATATCAAGAGGGTTGTGGCTCCATTCCGCATCCACTGGTGGTTTAGGATTCAAGGGGTACGGGTTTGGGATTTGAGGCTTGGGTTTCAAGTTAACCCCACATAAGCCCAGTTACCTCCACATCAGCACAGTAACCCCCACATAAGCACAGTCACCCTCTGCCTCACTACCTCCTCCCGTCCTCAAAAGCATAGGCAACACAGTCACTCTCTGGCTTATGTAGAAGACTCTTGTCCTCAGCAAGGACCCTCTGCCCCACTACCACCTCCCAATCTCCCTTCTCACTCCTCTTCTGCCACTCCCCTCCCCAGACACCCGCCCCTCTCAGGCATCTGTACAAGTCTCTTGTTCTTAGTAAGGAGCCTCTGCCACATCCTTGAGGTGCCTCAACAAAGTTCCCACTCTTTCTACCCAATCGCCCCTCCCGCATCCCCATCTCCCCCCCCCCCCACTTTACCCAGTTTATGTGCAACCAGTCCCTAGTGCCAAGCAAGGACGCTCTGCCCCACATTCCCCTCTCACTCACTATCCCATTTCCCTTCAACCCAGCCCCTCCCAGTATCCCCCTGCCTTTTGGCTTCCCCCACTTCACCGTAGCGATGTGTACAACATTTATTTAGTGTTAAGCCATGTGTTCAGTATTTAGTGTTAGGACCCGATGATGCCCCTCCTCCAAACTTTCCGTCTTCATTCCTCTCCGCTCACTCCCTTTCCCACATCACCCTTCGGCCGCCTCCACTCCCCCCCTTCCATCAAGTCGCATGTACAATGAGTCTCTTCTCCCCCTCTCCCTTCCCCCCCCACTCCCCTCCCTCCCAAACACCGTCCCCTTTCAGTCGTATGTACAACAAGTCTCTTGTGCTCAGCAAGGACCCTCTGCCCCATTACCGTCCAGAGTTGGATTCCAAGCGCCCACAGAGACAGGTGAGTGCAATGTGGTGAAGTGCGGTGCTTGCGTGCCCAATTTTCCCCGTGCTTTTTCTGCTTCCCTTCCTCTCTGCCTCTTCAACGAGCCACCATTTAACATACGCTGCCCACTCTTCCTCTATGCCTTGCATACCGACCGCCGCCGCTCCCTACTCTGCAGCCGAGTTTTCCCCCAGAATTGCCTCAAGCTATGGATCGGGTGGTGGTGGGTGTCAGGTCGAAGTGGGACAAAGCGCTTTCCCACACTCGGGCAAGCCTCCGCTCTTTGTCTCTCCCCCTTCCCCCCGCCCCCCTGCTCCCCCCCCTGCAGCTGAGCTTCCCCCCTGAAGTGCTTCAGGCTATCGATCGGGTGGTGGTGGATGTGAGGGCAAAGCGGGAGAGGGAGGAGGAAAGGAGGAGGGAGGAGGAAAGGAAGGCAGAGGAGGAAAGGAAGAGGGAGGAGAGGAATAAGGCGGCTGCTGCTGCCGGTGGTGGTGGTGGGAAGAGGGAGGTGGGCGGGAGAGGGCTGGCAGGGTTGCAGAGGGAGAGGGGTGAGGAGGGGGAGGATGGAGAAGAGGAAGATTTGGAGGAGGATGACTTGGAGGAGGAAGAAAGGGTAGTGAGTAGTGGCGAGGGAAGGATGGAAGAGGACGAGGAGGAGAGGAGGAGACGACTGTGGAGGATAAACGAGAGCTTGAAACGAAGGCAACTGCACTGGCAGGTGTGTGGGGGAGGGGGGGAAAGAGGGGGGGGGGGATGGGGTGGGGGGATGGGGTGGGGGGATGGGGTGGGCATGTAGATAGCAGGGATTGTGGAGAGGAGGAGGAGGAGGAGGAGGAGGAGGAGGAGGAGGAGGAGGAGGAGGAGGAGGAGGAGAGAATGAAAAAAGGGTTGAGCGCTTGCAGTTTTGGAGGATGAATGCGAGCTTGAGGCGAAGTGTGATAGCAATCTCGTCTTGAGACGTCTGAAAACGAAATTACTAACACACGGAGGGGAGGAAAACGGTTTGAGATTGGAGAGCTTGCATTTGTGGAGGATAAATGAGAGCTTGAGACGAAGGCAGCAGCGCTGGCAGGAGCATGGGTGGGGGGAACGGTTGCGGGGGGCTTAGTTGCTACAAACGCTCTGGGAGACAAGCGTTTGGCGTTCAAACGCTAGCGTTTGAACGCAAACGCCAAACGCACCCAAAAACGCAAACGCTCTCTGGGATTTTTTTCGGGCTGCCCCCCCAAAAAAAACACGAGATTGTCGTTGGAGAATAGCCTTAAGGATAGGTGATTTACATGACATATGAGGATGCTGGCTTAAATGTTAAGCACGGTTCTTTTTTATGAGACAAAATGCTTGCTGGTAGAACCCCCATGTTTCCCCCCTCCCCCACAGGAATCTTGAACCCCTGCCCGGGTAAAAATTTTACCCCTGCCCGGGCAAGCGTTTGCCTAGCGTTCACATACATGCTGCCGAGCGTTTAGCGTTCAAACGCTAGCGTTTAAACGCTAGCGTTCAAACGCCAAACGCGTTTGTAGCAACTAAGGCGGGGGGGACTGCTCATGTGGTTAGCAGGTATTGTGGAGAGGAGGAGGCGGAGAGGAGGAAGCGGTTGAGGCGAAGGCAGCAGCACTGGCAAGTGGGTGTCTGTGTGTGTGGGGGGGAGGGGAGGGGAGGGGGTATGTGGGTGGCAGGGACTGCGGAGAGGGCGAGGATGAGGGTTAGGGATTGTGGAGGATAAATGAGGATCATGAGTGCAGTGGAAGAGTGAACCGCTTAGGGCAAATTCTTGCGCCGTGTCAAACCACTGCGTGTCGGAAGATCAACAGCTCGGGTCATCACACGTCAGCAGTTGTGTTGTGTGGATGTGCACATATCGCAGCTGTTAACTACCTTGTATCGAAGCGGCTGACACTGGTTAGGAATGTGAAAACACTTAGTAATGGAAACTCTGTGCTCGAGAAATGGTTTTCTTGAGAACACACATCCATCCAACCTCCCTTAATCCTTCTTGCTTGCAGGCATCACCAGCGGGGGCATCTATGCTGGCGTTGAGGCAGAGCCTTCTGGTCTGGAGATTGATGGAGTGGTACTTGCAGTCATGCATCATAATTACTCACATACAAACATCTATGCATGTGCTTTTCTTTGCTTTGCGAGTGTGCAGGCATCACCAGAGGGGGCATCTATGCTGGCGTTGAGGCAGAGCCTTCCTGCGTGGAAGGAGAGGGAGAGGCTGCTGCAGGCAGTTCAGAACAACCAGGTAATGTTGGGTTCAGGAATCAAGGGACTTCTGGAGGGTTTCAAAATCACAGGTTTTTTGGAGGGTTTATGCCACAGTATCTGCTGGAGGATGCTGTGCCCTGAGGGCACGGAGCCCAAGGCAGTGCTCCATTCCCACAACACATACATTGCCTTCCTCTCCCCTTGCTATGCTCCAGGTGGTGGTGGTATCTGGCGAGACGGGGTGCGGCAAGACCACTCAGCTGCTGCAGGATCTGCTGGAGGAAGCAATATCGTCAGGGCAGGAAGCACAGAGCTCCATTCCGAATGCTCCTCTCTCTTTTTATAACGCTCTCCTTCCCTCTGCAGGTGGTGGTTGTGTCGGGTGAGACGGGGTGTGGCAAGACCACGCAGCTGCCGCAGTATCTGCTGGAGGAGGCGATATCGTCAGGGCAGGGAGCGCAGAGCTCCATCATTTGCACACAGCCACGGCGGATATCGGCTGTGGCAGTGGCAGAGAGGGTGGCTGCTGAACGAGGAGAGAGCATTGGGCAGTCGGTGAGTGCCTTTTATAGGCTTGGCTTTGGCTACACAATTACTTGCTGAGTGTGGAAAGAGTGTTGGGCAGTTGGTGATTGTTGTTGGGCAGTCGGTGTGTTCCGTTTTAGCCAACTTGTATTCAGCGCCAAGTCAACTATAGGTCAACGTGTTGCTGCAGTGACATGAGAGCATTCAGCGAGTGTTTCTTGAGTAATGTTTAGTCAACGTGTTGCTGAATGCATAGGGGTAAGGATCAGGGGTAACAGTTTTAGTTAAGCCTCTGTGAAGCTATGGCGGTCTCACCCCACTTGCCAGCTATCAAGAATTATTCAGTGCTATAATGTATTAACTCTCAAGTGATTTCCCCCATCCATTTTCTCTTACCCCCTCCATGTGTGCGATCAAGTTCTTGTTACCTCCTCTTCCCCCCCCCCCCACACTCCCACGCTCTCCCCATACGGGCTATCAAATCAAATACCTTGAGTGATTCCCTCAACCTGCTCCCGTTTCCACAAGGGGGGCTTATTACTCGTCGCTCACTCTCTCTTTCCCCTTCTCCTGTTCCACTCTTCCCGCCCCTGCCCCCTCCTCCAGGTGGGGTATCAATCAAGTGCGCCTAGAGGCCCATAGGAGTGCTGAGACGACTGGCGTCTGACCCGCCTTTCCCCATCCACTGCCCTCCGCCCCTCCCCTACACACACACACACACACACACACACACACACACACACACACAAACACACACACACACACACACACACACACACACACACACACACACACACACACACACACACACACACACACACACACACACACACACACACACACACACACACACACACCGATAGGTTGGGTATCAAGTGCGTTTAGAGGCACGCAGGAGTCGGGGCACCCATCTGCTGTTCTGCACCACAGGGGTGCTGCTGAGACGACTGGCGTCAGACCCCCTGCTTAACGGCGTGACCCACATTGTGGTGGACGAGATTCACGAGAGGGGCATGAACGAAGGTGATTCACGAGAGGGGCATGAATGAAGGTGATTCACGAGAGGGGCATGAACGAAGGTGATTCACGAGAGGGGCATGAACGAAGGTGATTTACGTGAGGGGCATGAACGAAGGTGATTCACGAGAGGGGCATGAACGAAGGTGATTCACGAGAGGGGCATGAACGAAGTTGATTCACGAGAGGGGCATGAACGAAGGTGATTCACGAGAGGGGCATGAACGAAGGTGATTCACGAGAGGGGCATGAATGAAGGTGATTCACGAGAGGGGCATGAATGAAGGTGATTCTACTAACCCCCTGTCCCAATATCCCTACATGCTTCTGAGTTGTCTCTTCTCATCTTCCCTCCCCCCCCACCCCCCTTCCTTCTCCGAACAACTTCCCTTCCATTGTTCTGAGTGACTCAGAACAAAGCTGAAACACTTTGTTCCTCTCACGATCCCCTGCCACCTGGAAGACAAAGCTGGTGCTCCTTTTTTATCGCCTCAAATTTTCCCGCTATCTGAGATTTGAGGTCTATTATTAGGTGCCTGATCGTCCTGAGACCAATGCATCTCGTCGCCCGGATCCGAAGCTCTTGCTCTTGAGTGCTCCTGCTCTCTGCTTCTGTTCTGTAGTCTCCTCATGTGTCCCATTTTCCCATCCTTTCTCTTCCGCCCCATCTCCCCCCCACACCCCCAAAATAAGACTTTCTCCTGATCGTCCTGAGAGACCTGCTTCCCCGCCGCCCGGACCTGAAGCTCGTGCTCATGAGCGCCACGCTCAATGCAGACCTGTTCTCCCAGTACTACAGCGGCGCCCCCACACTGCACATCCCGGTGCGTGGTTGTGGTGTTGTTGCTGGTGGATTTGGGGTGTGGGCTAGGGTTGACCCCACCACACCGCATTCAACTCTCAGTGCTCATGAGCGGCCTGCTCAATGCAGATCTGTTCTCCCAATACTACAGTGGCGCTCCCACGCTGCACATTCCCATAAGTAGTGTTGCTGCAGAGGCGCCCATCCGCTCTCCGCACGTTCACATTCACTTCACACGTCAGGGCGGGGCGCCCATCCGCTCTCCGCACGTTCACATTCACTTCACACGTCGGGGCGGGGCGCCCATCCGCTCTCTCAGAGGGTTTCCAAAGCAGCACAGGTGGGGCGTCACTTCAATGACGTTCAAAGCGGGTTACTACCACTGTACATGCTGCCGTGCCGATTTCCGGGATGTCCAAAGTAGGGCCCCGGAAACCCGTAGTCGAGAGCGACGCCACACAGGGATTTTTCAACAACCTAGCCGGCAGTTTAAAGATTATCCCACAAAACTCGAACGGCCCCCACCAACCCACTTGCCGCTGGCCAAGAAAGCAGTTTACCACTGCCACCACTGCCACCACTGCCACCACTGCCACCACTGTCATTCGCAAAATTTGGCCACCAGTGTTCACGCGTCATGCCAGATTCGGTTCGGCACATTCGCTTTTTGGTGTCGTGGTAACATTCGATTGCTTGTGTGGTTTCCGGTTTTTCCGGTTTTCGAGTAGGTGTTGGTAGGGTTTCGAGTTTAAGATTTCGTTTCCAGGCAAAGCTTATATGCTTCTCTCAGCGCTCATGGCCTGCGAGGTGATTGCTCGACGTCGACGCTGTGCTGATCTCCCAATCCTACAGCACCGCTCCCATGCTGCTGCACATCCCCGTCCGTGCATGTCTCCCAGCGGCGGCGCTCTCATGCTCCGCTGACCACAGTGGCAGTGGCGCTCTGGTACTCTCAGCACAATGGTGACTTTTGAGTCGACTCAAAAGTCATCTCAGCTCAATGGTGTTGGGATTCTGGCACCCTTCTCACCTCTTCCTGTCTCTTCCCTTCTTACTTGCCTTGCTTTCCCCCTTTGAGATCACTCCAGGATTCACCTTCCCATGAGCTCCTACTTCCTTGAAGGCTAATCAACTCAAACCCCGCCCCACCTTATCCCCAACCCCTTTCTTCTCCCTCTCCTATAACCTCTCTCAGGGATTCACCTATCCTGTCCGCTCGTACTTTCTTGAAGACGTGTTAGAGCTCACCGGCCACGAGGTCACTCTGCACAACCAGGTGAGCCCCTGCTCCCCCTCCCCTCCCCCCCCCCCTCCCCCCTCCTCTCCTCCCCTCCCATAGCCACCCATCCCCACTTCCCCCCATCCCCACCTCCTCCCCCTCTTTCCCCCACTCCTCCCCCCTCTGGCGTATTTGGAGACCCCTCAGAACCTCTCTGTATTAATGTGACTGCACCACCCTATGACCAACCAAAGACATGCGTTGACTACGCGTTCCCGCTGCTCTTCCCATACCCCACCAGGTGGACGACTATGGCAGCGAGCAGCAGTGGCGGAGGAGGCATCATTATCACAGTGTTACTGGTTACCACATTCACACATCTCACCATATCCCATCCCACACCCCACCAGGTGGACGGACGACTATGGCAGCGAGCAGCAGTGGAGGAGGAGGCGGCAGATGGGTCTCAAGGAGAAGAGGAGTGATAGAGGACATGCCCCACCCTCTTCCGTTGCATGCCCCACCCTCTTCCGTTGCATGCCCCACCCTCTTCCGTTGCATGCCCCACCCTCTTCCGTTGCATGCCCTCTCTGCCATCCCATCCCATCCCATCCCATCCCATCCCATCCCATCCCATCCCATCCCATCCCATGCCATCCCATCCCATCCCATCCCATCCCATCCCATCCCACCCCACACCCCACCAGGTGGACGACTATGGCAGCGAGCAGCAGTGGCGGAGGAGGCGACAGATGGCCCTCATGGAGAAGAGGAGAAGGAGCCTGGAACCTTCCTTCGTCCAGGTGAGAGCCTGGAACCTTCCTTCGTCCAGGTGAGAGCCTGGAACCTTCCTTCGTCCAGGTGACTCTACTGAGCCCATGAGACCTGAGGTGGTTAGCCTTTCAACATGTGAGAGTGTGCTTTTGAGTCAGCTCAATACCTCTACGCACCACTCACTCGGCAAATGACCCATCCAACATGGAACTGTGCTTTTGGTAGAAACTGTGGGTGGGACTTTCGGGGTTTTTTTTTCCCCTTCCTCCGATCTGATTCTCTCCCTGAGAAAAGGGATGGGCCGCCCACGGGCCAGCCCGGAGTGGCCCGTCATGCACCCGACTTGGGCTGGCTGGCCTGAAAAGTTGGCCGGTGTTGGCCCGGCCGGTCAAGCCGGGCCAGCCCTGGGCTATCCCTTGCTCCTGTCTGGTACCCCTCATTGTCCTCGCGTTCTCCCCCCTTCGCTCCCTCTGCTCTGCTTGCTTTCCCCCATCTCTCTCTAGCCACCCTTCCCAGGAGGACGCTCTCACCAAGCACTCTTTTGCCTCCCTCTCCCCCTTTGCGCAGTGATCCATGGAGCGGTGGACCGGCGAGGGCGTGGGGTCGTCCCTCATCGAAGCTGCTCTGGAGCATTCTGATGTTGCCCCTGCAATGTTGCCCCTGCCCCCCCCCCCCCCCCCACCCTCCACTCCAACCCCCCCTTATCCCAACTCCAGGAGGCACTCTCCCAGCACTCCTTTGCCTCCCACTCGCCCTTCGTGCAACGATCCATGGAGCGCTGGACTGGGGAAGGCGTAGGGTTCTCCCTCATTGAAGCTGCTCTGGAGTTTGCTAATATCGTTCCGTGCCCGCATGCCGAGGCTGCTGGCACAGGTGCTCATTTTTCCCTTTCTTCCCACCCCTCCTCCCTCCCCCCTTCACATGCCCGCCCAACTCCAGGAGGCACTCTCTAGCCACTCCTTCGCCTCCCACTCGCCCTTCGTGCAACGATCCATGGAGCGGTGGACCGGCGAGGGCGTGGGGTTCTCGCTCATTGAAGCAGCCCTGGAGTTCGCAGTGAAGTGCGGGCCGAGGCTGCTGGCTCAAATGCTAATCCTGTTCTCCCCACTCCTCCCCCCTACCCCTCCCCCCCTCCCTTCCCCCCCCCACGTGCTTTCACATGCCTGCCGAACCCCAGGAAGCTCTTGCCGACCACTCCTTCACCTCCCACTCGCCCTTTGTGCAACGATCCATGGAGCGGTGGACCGGCGAAGGAGTGGGGTTCTCCCTCATCGAAGCTGCTCTGGAGTTTGCTGTGAAGCGCGGGCCGAGGCTGCTGGCTCAGATGCAGAGGGAGGGGGGGAGAGAGGGGCGGGGGGAGGGGCGGAGGGAGCGAGAGTGGACACAAGAGGGGGAGGAGAGGGAAGGTCATTCCAGACGCATGGTGGTGAGAGGAGAGCAGGCGGCAGGCAGAGACCCCATGGGGGGTTCAGGGGTGGGAGTGACAGGACGTGTAGGGAGCAAGGGTGCGGGAGCAGAGGAGGAGACGGGGGCTATAGGGAGCAAGGATGCAGGGGCGGTGCTGGTGTTCATGACAGGATGGGACGACATCATTGCCATGAGGGACCGGCTGAGGGAGCACCCGGTGCTGGGGGACGAGAGGAAGGTGCTGCTGCTGACGTGCCATGGCAGCATGCCCATCGAGGAACAGGTGGGTGCGAGATAAGCATGTTGGGATTATGAGTAGGTCGGAAAGGAAGATGCACTGTGAGGGAAAGACCGAGGGAGAACCCGCTGCTGGGGGATGAGAGGCGGGTGCTGCTGCTGACATGCCATGGCAGCATGCCCATTGAAGAGCAGGTGGGGATGAGAGTGGGGTTGTTGGAATGAAGGATGGAGTCTAGTGGCAATAGGAGGCGGATATAGCTCAAGTTGTAGACACACCAGAAGCAGTCACCAAGGTGATTCTTGCATTGCAACCAACATGGCCAAAACCTCCATTAGCGCTTTTGAGGCATCTCAAAAGCAACCCCCCACACCAAGCAGAAGCTCATATTCAAGCCGTCTCCAGAAGGAGTGACCAAGGTCATCCTCTTCCTCGCCACGAACATGGCCGAGAGCATCGACGACGCACACCATCACCATCAACAACGCCGTGCTAGTCCCAACCCGTACTCCTTCCCCACGCCCCACTTCCCACTTAACTCCTTCCGTCCCTCCAAGCAGAAGCTGATATTCAACTCCCCACCAGAGGAAGTCACCAAAGTAATCCTGGCCGCCAACACGGTGGAAACCTCCATCACCATCAACCACATCACCATCAACCATTTTTGCATCTTTCCCCCAACTCCCCCACACCAAGCAGAAGCCCATCTTCAACCCGCCACCCGAGACCTCCATCACCAAAGGTCATCCTGGCCACCAACATGGCCGAGACCTCCATCACCAAAGTAGTAGTTTTTATATCCATCCAAACTCCTCTCACCCCATGCAGAAGCTCATCTTCAGCCCCCCTCCAGAAGGCAACACCAAAGTGATCCTCGCGACCAACATGCCTGAACCCTCCACCACCATCTGACTGGTTCTCACGTCTTCCCCCACTCCTCTCACCCCAAGCAGAAGCTCATCTTCAACCCTCCCCCCGAAGGCATCACCAAAGTGATCCTCGCGACCAACATGGCCGAGACCTCCATCACCATCAACGACGTCGCACTGGTCATCGACACCGGAAAGGCCAAGGAAACTTCCTACGACGCAGTCAACAACGTACCCTGCCTCCTGCCCCAGTGGGTCTCCAAGGCCTCGGTGAAGCAGAGGAGGGGCAGGGCGGGGCGGGTGCGGCCAGGCGTGTGTTTCCATCTCTACCCGCGGCCGCTGTTCGCCGCGCTGCCAGACTACGGCCAGCCAGAGCTACTGCGAGCGCCGCTGCACTCGCTGTGCTTGCAGATCAAGACGCTCGGGCTGGGCAATATTGGGGAGTTTCTTGGAAAGGCCATGCAACCTCCTGAACCTCTTGCAGTGAGTTGGGGGTCCCTGGGTTATACAGTATACTACCCGCCGCTGCACTCGCTGTGCCTGCAGATCAAGACGCTTGGGCTGGGCAATATTGGAGAGGTCCTGGGGAAGGCCATCCAACCCCCGGAGCCACTAGCGGTCTGTGAGTACTAGTACTGTGCCACTCGTGAAATCCCAGCTTTGTTTACTGATGGGTCGACCCAAAAAGGTGCAAGAGAGGGCGGGGCAGGTGCCGCCAGGCGTGTGTTTCCACCTGTACCCACAGCCGCTGTTCGCCGCGCTGCCGGACTACGGCCAGCCGGAGCTGCTGCGGGTGCCGCTGCACTCGCTGTGCTTGTGGATCAAGACACTCGGGCTGGGCAATATTGGGGAGTTTCTTGGAAAGGCCATGCAACCGCCTGAACCTCTTGCTGTAAGTCAGGGGTCCCTGGGTTATACTGTATACTACCCGTCGCAGCACTCGCTGTGCCTCCAGATCAAGACGCTTGGGCTGGGCAATATTGGAGAGTTCCTTGGAAAGGCCATGCAACCTCCTGAACCTCTTGCAGTGAGTGACAGGCTGCTGAAATTCCTGTTCTGTTGACTTATGAGTTGGCCCATACCAAAAGATGCGAAAGAGGGCGAAGATGGTGCGGCCAGGGGTGTGTTTGGCCGGTGCTAGCTGTGAGTAACAGGCTGTTTTATTTTTGTTTGGCACTCTGACAATGCATTTCAGATGCTCCCGCATGTGTGCGTGCAGGTGGACAATGCGATAGAGCTGTTGGAGGACGTGGGGGCGCTGGACAAGGACGAGAACCTCACTTACATGTCTATCTGCATGTATGTGTGTATGTATGTATGTATTGCATGTATGTGTGTTCTGCATGTATTGCATGTATGTATGTGTGTTCTGTATGTATTGCATGTATGTGTGTTCTGTATGTATTGCATGTATGTGTGTTCTGTATGTATTGCATGTATGTGTGTTCTGTATGTATTGCATGTATGTGTGTTCTGTATGTATTGCATGTATATGTGTTCTGTATGTATTGCATGTATGTGTGTTCTGTATGTATTGCATGTATGTGTGTTCTGTATGTATTGCATGTATGTGTGTTCTGCATGTATTGCATGTATGTGTGTTCTGCATGTATTGCATGTATGTGTGTTCTGTATGTATTGCATGTATGTGTGTTCTGTATGCACGGATGTCCTCCTGATCTATGTGTGCAGGTGGACAATGCGATAGAGCTGTTGGAGGACGTGGGGGCGCTGGACAAGGACGAGAACCTCACACCACTTGGTACGCTGCTCGTGGTATCACGCACACCCGTTTGGCACATCCATGCATACTGCACTTGTTGGCATGCATGCATCACCACCGGGTATGCTCTCCTCGCTTCCACAACCAAGAGTGACAACTAGTTCAACTGTGCGCACTTTCTTTCCACTACTAACATTGCATTCTGTCACTCGCCATTCCTCCCAACTTCTGCTCATTGTGTGCCTTTTGCTGTCTCTCCCCATCTCCTCGCGCTCTCATCTCTTTCCTCACCCCTCTGTCAGGCCGCCACCTCACAGCGCTACCCCTTGAGCCCCGAGTGGGTAAGATGCTGGTGATGGCAGCGCTGCTGTCGTGCGTCAACCCTCTCCTCACTGTGGCCGCTACCCTTAGTGAACGAGAGCCCTGGGTGCGACCAGCGGATAAGAGAGAGGTGAGCAGCGAGGGGGAGTAAAGAGGGGCACGAGGGGCATGAGGGGCATGAGGGGCATGATGGGCATGATGAGGGGCATGAGGGGAATGAGGGCTAAATATGGGGGTGATGCCTGTCCTGCTGTCATGCGTCAACCCTCTGCTCACTGTAGCAGCTGCCCTCAGTGAACAAGAGCCGTGGGTTCGACCGGCTGACAAGAGAGAGATGCGACGGGATATGAGGGGGATGTGAGGGGGATGTGAGATGTGAGGGGGATGTGAGGGGGATGTGAGGGGGTGATGGCAGCGCTGCTGTCTGTCGTGCACGAATCCTCTGCTCACAGTGGCTGCTACTCTCTTAGTCAAAGATTCTACGCACCCTTTCCTTCCTTAATGCCAGTTCCTCTCTTGATCCCTCTCACCAGGTGGCTGATTCGGCACGCCTTGGTTTCGCAGGGGACGACTGCAGCGACCATTTTGCGGCAGTGAGGACGTTTGAGGGTTAGATGGCTGCTCTGGGGTCATCCATCCCTTTCCTTCCCCTTCTCCATCTCCCCCAACAAATACCCCAAAACCCCCCGCCCCCCCCGCCCCTCCCCTCTCCCGCTTATCCCTCCTGTCAGGTGGCCGATTCGGTGCGCCTTCGCTTTGCAGGGGACGACTGCAGCGACCATTTCGCAGCAGTGAGGGCGTTCGAGGGGTGGGTGGCGGCCCTGGGGTCAGGGGACAGCCCACGCGACGGATACAATGCCGCACGCGCGTACTGCTACGACCACTTCTTATCGCACCCCACCATGCAGGTATGAATTTATGCTTAGTGCCTTAGAAAGTAGAGGGCGTTTGAGGGCTGGGTTGCGGCCCTGGGGTCAGGGAACAGCCCGCACGACGGATACAATGCCGCACGCGCGTACTGCTACGACCACTTCTTATCGCACCCCACCATGCAGGTATGAATTTATGCTTAGTGCCTTAGAAAGTAGAGGGCGTTGGAGGGCTGGGTTGCGGCCCTGGGGTCAGGGAACAGCCTGCACGACGGATACAATGCCGCACGCGCGTACTGCTACGACCACTTCTTATCGCACCCCACCATGCAGGCACGCCCTTCAAACCTTGTTTTGCCGCTACTATCTCATCTTATGCCTGCTGCTAGTACTTCTTCTCTCCAAAGTGCATTCTGTGCCTTTGACTAATACATCCTGCCGTGCTTGTTGGCCTTTGAATTGTTCTGTCCCTTCAATTTTCTGGTGCATGCAAAACTCAAACGTTGCCACATAGGATATCCCCCGATTGACTTGGCGAATATATTCAAGTTTTCCAAACCTGCCGTGTCAAACCACCAGGCAATAGCAGGGCTGAGGCGGCAGCTGCTGGGGACACTTGGCGAGCTGGGATTGGTCAATGTGCTCGAGGGCATGGGCGAGGCCAACATGCGGAGCAACGAACCCGAGCTCGTTCGAGCCGCGCTGCTGGCCGGGCTGTTTCCGGGGGTGGCGTCTGCAGTGGTGCGTGTATTGGTTTCAGTATGTGCGGATATGTATGATGGTTAATTGTGTCTGCGTGTGTGTGTGGTGGATTTGTATGATGGTTAATTGTGTCTGCGTGTGTGTGTGGTGGATATGTATGATGGCTCATGTGGTTGGTAGAGGGGCATGGGCGAGGCCAACAGGTGCAGCAATGACCCTGAGTTTGGTTCGGGCTGCGCTGCTGGCAGGGCTGGTTCCAGGGGTGGCGTCTGCTGTGGTAAGCGTGTGTTGGTATGCTGTGTGTTTGTGTGCATGTGTGTGTGTGTGTGCTTATGTGTGTGTGTGTGCATGTGTGTCTGTGCATGTGTGTGTGTGTGTGCATGTGTGTGTGTGTGCATGTGTGTGGTTGCCTGTGCTTGTAAGCTCTGCTGCTGGCGGGGCTGTTTCCCAGTGTGGCGTCTGCAGTGGTGAGTTTGAGAGTGCGGGTCTAGAGTATGTATGTCTGTGTGTTCATCCGCTGGTCACTCTGCATTCCGAAGGAGCGGGCACATGCAACCCCCCATGCACATGCAACCCCCCACTGCACATACAACCCCCCATGCACATGCACGCCGCATGCACATGCACCCCCTATGCGCACGAAGCACAGCGTATAAGATGGAGAAGGATGGAGAAGTGAGCATACGCCCCCATACCTCATCCCCCAACGTGCCTTCATATCTCCCTTACATGCTCCCCCCTATGCTTTCATCCATGACCCCCTCACATGCACATGCACATGCAACCCCAATACTGGTGCTCGTATGCAGAAGCGAGCGCGGAGCACTGCATACAAGACGGAGGAAGATGGAGAAGTGAACATTCATCAGGTGCGTTCTGAGAAGTGTCAAATATGTATGCTCAGTTCTCAAATCCATGGGGAAGGGGCGCTGGTGGGGGGAAGAGTTGGGTAAAGTGGGAGGAGGTGGGGGAGGGGGTGTGGTAATGTAAGCGCAACATGCATGGCTGAGGAGAGGAGGATGCATGCTTGAATGTGAGCTGTTCGGTGCCAGCCTCTTTCCTTATTTCAAGTTCCCCCAAATGCTTGTCCTGCCCGTTCCCTCCCCTTCTCCCCCGCTTCGTCTCTCCCTCTGTTCTCTACTGCAGTCGTCTGTCAATGCTGGTCTCACTCGCTTCCCCTACCCGTGGCTGGTTTTCAACGAGAAGGTACTGTGGGATGGCGTGTGATGGGGTGTGATGGGGTGCCATGCGGTGTGATGGGGTGCCATGGGGTGTAATGGGGTGCCATGGGGTGTGCTAGGGTGCCATGGGGTGTTATCCCATGCCATGGGGTGTGATGTGAAGCCAGCAGGTGTTATGTGGGCATCATGATACCATGCTATGGGGGCATGACGGGATGGATGGTAGCGTCAATCCCATCAAGGGGCGGTTGTTCTTCGCATGATGGCATGCATGTAAGAATCAGAATGAGAGGCTTAGGGAAACCAAGAACCAGAATGAGGGGCTTAGGGAAACCAAGAACCAGAACTGCCTGTTGGATTGCCCCTCATGCGCCACATGGCTTGTTTTCATGTGTGACTTATGCTGTGCCCCTCAACGACTGGACCATGGGTTTTCTGCCTGTACCCCTGAAGTTTTCACCCTTGAACCCCATACTTTCACTTGGGCGACCTGACCCCCCAACCTAGCCCCCTCATTCGAAACCCTGAACCCCCCATCCCAACCTGCCACAGATCAAGACCACCTCTGTGTTCATTCGAGACTCCACTGGTGTATCCGATGCGGCTCTGCTGCTCTTTGGCTGTCCTCTCACTCCACACTTGAGGAGATTAACCTGCAAGCCCTTTACCCTGAACCCCCCACCCAACCCTTGGCAGATCAAGACCACCTCTGTGTTCATCCGGGATTCCACGGGAGTATCCGACGCGGCTCTGCTGCTCTTTGGCGGGCCTCTCACCCCCACCACCGACCCCGGCTACCTCCACATGATGGACGGCTACTTTGAGTTCTTCATGCCGCCCGCCGCCGCCCGTTCGGTTTTGGGGCTACGATCCGAGCTCGACTCGCTTATACAGCGCAAGGTGAGGGAGGGATGCTTTAGAGTCGACCCGGGCAACTTGCACATGTGGGATGGCTACTTTGAGTTCTTCATGCCGCCCGCCACCGCCCACTCTGTGCTGGGGCTACGATCCGAGCTCGACTCACTCATACAACGCAAGGTACGCAGTACACGTTACTGCTGCTGCAGTGTCCTGGGTGGTGGTGCTTTGGATTCGACTCGAAAGCTCACTGATAGAGCGCAAGGTACGTGATACATGTGACGGCTGCAGTGTCCTGGGTGGGGGAGTGATTTTGAGTCAATTCAAAGCTCACTGATAGAGCGCAAGGTATGTGATTGTTGCGGTGTCATGGGTGGGGGTTGCTGCAACCCCTCACAACCGGGGCTATCTGCGCTTGTTGGTCTGCATCCTGGGGCTTCTGTATTCTACTTCGAGCTCTCCATGCCGCCTGCTGCTGCTGCCCTCTGCTGGGCCTGCAATCCGAGCAGGGTTCATCATACAGCGCAAGGTGAGGAAGGACTGGGCTATAGAAGGTCGGTCCAGCACGTGCTGGCAGCGGTTCATGCTCTTGTTGGACGGCTACTTCGGGTTCTTCATGCCGCCCGTGTTGGGGCTAAGATCTTAGTTAGACGCACTATTTCAACGCAAGGTAGGTGGCTGGTGTCACGGATCTCCTGCAGTGCGAGCAGCCACACGGCACCTTCACCGTTGGCCTTGTGGGAACAAATCCTTCAAGGCTATTTTCCCTCCACTTCTGCCCCCTCCTTCTGGCTGTTTCGTTGCAGCTGGAGAGCCCGCGCCTCCCCTTAACGCCGGAACATGAAGCCATTTTGGCTGCTGTCCCTGACTGTCTGCAGTGCGAGCAGCCACACGCCGCCTTCCCTGTTGGCCTCGTGCCAAAGTTCCCTCTTCGTTTTGCTCCCCGCCTCCCCTTTATGTCAACAGTACAATGCGGCTGGAGAACCCGCACTTCCCCTTGTCACCGGAAGACAAGGTCATTCTGGGGGCTCTCACTGACCCTCGGCAGTGCGAGCAGCCCCGCACCACCTTCACTGTAGGCATTGTACCAAGCGAGAGACTTTTGAGAATTCTCAAAAACCCCTTGCTACTTTCTCTACGTCTCGTCTCTCCCGCACTTTTTCACCATTCCCGCGCTTTTTTGCAGCTGGAGAGCCCTCGCCTTCCTTTAACACCAGAAGACGAGGCCGTTCTAGGAGCCGTCACGGACCTGCTGCAGTGCGAGCAGCCACGCGGCACCTTCACTGTTGGCCTTGTACCAAAGCTCGCCCCTCCAAAGCCCGAGAAACCCGTAAAGGCGAAAGCAGTGGACATGAAACTGGAGGCCGGGAAGGATGTGAAATCGTACGTTCACAACAACTGCAAGATCCACTTCTTGGGCCGGCCGCGGTATTTTATAGAGCAGGTGGGTACTAAGCAGGAGAATATATATCAGTGTACGATGCGGCTGGGGGGAGCAGCAGCGGGGATTGATTTTGTGGGCGAGCCGGCTTCGACTAAGAAGGTTGCGGAGTGGAATGCAGCTGTGGAGGGGTGGAAGTGGATTCTGGAGTACAAGAAGGTTGACAGGAAGGAGAAGCAGGCAAAGGAGGAGGTGAAGAAGTGTGGGAGGAAAGAGAGGAAGGAGAGGAGGAAGGCGAATCATAAGATGGAGGAGAGGTGGGAGTATTGGAGGAAGAAGTATGAGGAAGAGGAGGCGGCGAAATGGAGAGAGAAGGGAGGGAAAGAGAAGGAAGGGAGGGCTGATATGGATTCAGTGGTGGAGGAAGGGGAGGTGGTGGAAGAGGTGGGGAGAAGGTTGGAAGAGAAGGATGGTGGTGAGGGGAGGAAGCGGAGAAAGGGAAAGATGGCGGCAGGGAAGGATGCACAGGAGCTGCTGCCGTTGAGTCAGGCAAAGAAAGGGGCGGCAAGAGCAGCGTCGAAACGGAAAGGAAACGAGAGAGCGGAGGAAAGAGGTGATTGGCTTCATTCGGATGATAGTGATGGATCGAGGGTGGTGGGTGGTGGTGAGAGAGCAACGGAGGGCGCAGGAGAGGGGGTGGGGATGGGGATGGTGTGGAGTGGGCTGACATGGCGGAGAGTGGAGAGGAGGAGGGGTGGAAGGAGAAGGGAAGAAGGAAGGGCAAGAGTAAGGGGAAGGGAAGGAGCAAGGTGGAGGTTTTGCTTCCCAGTGGTGACGACGAGGTTGAAGATAAAGGGAGGAAAAAGGGAGCTCGGAAGAGGAAACAAGTGTAACTTGGGCATGGCCCATGGGGTGTTTAGTGGTTGGGGGTCAATAGCACCTAATTGAGTATACGCCTCCACCATGAGAATTCAGCACAGCGCTTAGTACCAACTATATTTTGAGGGAGTTCGCTCTGCACTCGGCTTGAAACATACCATAAATATACACTAGAAACATTCGAGCCTTCAAGTCCGACTTCCACACTAGTAAAGATGCCAGACCCTTAATGGAAGGGAAGGGATGCCACTTATACACGTTGAGGATGTAATTAACCAATCTCGAATATTGCATTTTTAGTTGTTCTGTAACCCAGAGCACGTATCGCTGAGTTGAAAGAGAGAGGTTTGAGAGAGTCCTCAGCACACCTTGCGGGCTGCCCGGCCTGACTCGTTCAGTGGAGGGTGCTTGCCACGCTGACCACGCAAGCTGACTTTGCTTTTGCATCCATGTCAGCAGCACCCAGCTATGTCGGCTCAGCCACGTCGCCAGTCAAACCATTCACCCAGCCACTCCCCTGCCAGATCTTGCGCACCAGAGCTGTCCACGTCTCTCTTCGAAACTCGCGCATCAGAACCAGCCACGTGTAAGACTCTTTGAGCTGGTTCCCAAAAAGTTGAACGAGGTGTAGTGCGCTGCGCTGAATTTGATGTAGGGGAGGGGAGATGCCCCCCCAGCAACTCAGGGACGAGAACAGCTTGGCGCGCCTCGATTCGCATTTCATCACTGCATCTACAAATTCAGCAATCGGTGACTCAATAATCTGTAATCGCAGTCAGGCACTTACTCATTTCTTCCTACAGGCACTTCTGTAACCCTTGATCTTGTGCTCTCTCTGATCATTCTAGCAAACGTCATGGCTTCCGCCCTCGCAGCTCGTCAGGCGCTCTCCGCCCTCTCCTTCAGAACCGCCATCAGAGGCGCTCGTATCGCCACGCCCAGCCTCACCGCCGTAGCGCCAACCATTCCGCGCGGACTTGGCGTCTCCGCCCTCTTCAGCTCCCGTAAAGCCGCCGTCCCCGCTAAGAGCGTCCCCGCTACGAAGCCCCGCACAGAGGACGGCATCTTCGGCACCTCCGGCGGATTCGGATTCACGAAAGCCAACGAGCTCTTCGTGGGGCGCGTCGCCATGCTCGGCTTCGCGGCTTCCCTCCTTGGCGAGGCGATCACGGGAGCGGGAATCCTCTCGCAGCTCAACATCGAAACGGGGATCCCTATAACGGAGACGGAGCCGCTGCTGCTCTTCTTCATCGCATTCACCGTGCTCGGCGCGATCGGTGGGCTGGGCGACCGCGGACGATTCGTGGACGACGAGCCGGTCGGGCCGCCCGTGAAGCCCGGCAGTATCAAGGCAGCGCTCGGGCTCAGCGAGGACGGGCCTCTGTTCGGATTTACCAAGGCGAACGAGTTGTTTGTCGGGCGGTTGGCGCAATTAGGGTTTGCGGCGAGTTTGATTGGCGAGGTGATCACGGGGAAGGGGGCTCTGGCGCAATTGAATGTTGAAATTGGCGTTCCCGTTTGGGAGCTCGAGCCGCTGCTGCTCGCGAGCATCGCGTTCTTCTTCGTCGCTGCGATCAACCCGGGTACTGGGAAGTTCATTAACGATGAGGAGTGAGTAGGCTATGCAACAGTCTAGATGTACATATGGTTTGTGTACTAGCATTTATTCAACAAGTTAAGCTCGAATGGCATAAAATCGTCCTTTTTTCTGATCTCCTCTGGGTAGCCTATTGATTTCCCCTGACAGAGTTTTGTTTCCGCCCACACATGCGGGAGTTGGTTCGTGTCATCCCAAACGAACGTGAACGACATATTCACAACATGCAGTCACAACATCCATTACTGTCACACACTCATCACTCCCTCAACAATATCCACAGCTTCCTGATGTTGGTAGACAGTGTCCTCTCCAGCAACTTAGGGCGTATTCCTACGAAGTAGCATCAGCACTAACATGAATTTTTGTTGATGCTGGTGCCACTTCAGGAAATACAACGCCACCCACCAGCAAAGGGTCGACGCGAGATTTTTTTCGCGCATTTTGTTCCGATTACTCCACTCGATAGTCACCCTCTCGAGAATCAGTGCCTTGTGTTAGATGGCCTCCGTGTGGATGAAAAAGACCATCGACGGCTCGCATTTCGCATGCGCGACCAACATTCACTTGTTTCTCATCTGCAGGGTGCGCGTTTGAAGTACCATCAGCATCAGCAAAAGCCATTACAGTGCTGATGCAACTTCGTAGGAATACGCCCTCACTCTCTACCTCCCACATCCTTTCTCACGTAACAAGTACAATCTGCCATCCCCCATGCCCCATGCACGGTGGCATCTTAGGACGCGGAGCTTTTGGGAGAAAGAAAGAAAGCAAGAATTTAAAACCTCAGGTTCAGAATTAAAGATGGGTGGAAGGTTGTGTAGACGCAGTCAGAATGGTTCCACGCACCACAGCGTGGTATTCATGCTCGTTCAGGTGTCGAACCTCACCTAAAAGCACTGCGTCCTTACTGCCACATGCAGTCCTTCTGGCACACCACCTGACATCCGGTAGCCCTCTGGACATCTCCCTCAGAAGTTCTTCAGGACCCTCTTTGCCTCTCGCACACCCGATAAATACGCCCCGTGCACGGTGGCCTGGTACTGCCAGATGGTGTGCTCCCCAGCAAACAGCACCCGGCCCTCAGGCAGCCCCATGCGATCATAATCCGTGCAGTGGTCCCCGTTCCCCTGCACGCCAATCTTCGCATAACTATACGCGCCGCGCGCATACGGGTCGTCGCTCCACCGCTGCACCCATGTGGCTATCGCCTGCACCGGCTTCTTCCTATACTGGGAAAACATGCGCTGCATCTTCGCCTGGGCGTCTGCGATCACGGCTGCATCAGTCATCTGGGCCATTCGCTCCGCATACTCCCCCAGTGCCACCCCCTCCAGCGCCGTCTGCCCCCACGCCCGCTTCAGGTTCACCCAATCCACCCACCGCCCGCGATTCCCGGGCAGCTGCCCGTCCTCGATGAAATATTCGTCCACGTTGACTGGCCAGAAGGTCTCGTTGAAGAAAAAAAAGATTTTGTTGATCGAGCCCACGCCGAGGCGGGCCATGGCGCCCGTTTTCCGGGCAGAAAGGGCCGGCTGGAAAGCGATGGTGTTGGCTTTAAGCACGCCGAGGGGGATGGTGACTATAACGACGTCGGCTGTGAGGGTGGTGGTGGCGCCATTGGCGGTGTTCTTGCCGGTGATCGTGACTTTGGGTGCTGCACCTGAGGTCTGGGAGATGCCGGTCACTTCAAAGTTGAGAATCAGCTTGGCGCCTGCTGCTTGTGCTTCCTGTGGTGTAGGTGAGTGGGAGGGAGGGGGGGAGTGAGAGTGAGGAAAAAAGGCCCTTGCCTGTGAGAAATCTTGACCTTGGGTGCTGCGCCGGACATCTGAGAAATGCCGGTCACCTCAAAGTTGAGAGTGAGCTTGGCTCCTGCTGCTTGTGCTTCCTGCGGTGCATGTGGGTGGGAGGGAGGGGGGGAGTGAGAGTGAGGGGAATGTCCATGCCTGTGAGTGACCTTGACCGTGGGTGCTGCGCCGGAGGACTAAGAAATTCCGGTCACCTCGAAGTGAAGAGTGAACTTCGCACCTGCTGCTGGCACTTCCTGGGGTGTAGGTGGGGGGAGGGGAGCGAGAGTGAGATTCAGGGAGGGAGTGAAGAGAGTGTCCGTGCCTGTGATCCTGACTTGTGGGGCTGTCCCTGAGGTCTGAGAAGTGGCGGTCACTCTAAATTTGAGAGTGGGCTTTGCACCTGCTGCTTGTAAACCCGAAACCCTGTAAAATAAGTGTGTGCGAGGGGGAGGGAGTGAGATTGAAAGTGGAAGTAGGGCAGAGAGGCCAAATTCCTCAACATACACTGCTTCCTGTGGTGTGGGTGGGCAGTAGTGGGAGTGGAAAGGAGGACAGAGACGCCACACACCAACCTCGACACATGTTTGAGTGTTAAAGCTGTGTTGTCGTTGGAGGAAGCTCCAAACTATCCACCCCTCTCCCTTCCCTCAACTGCATGCATGGGCTGCTTCTATATTCTGTCATAGCCGTTCGTGACCAACAGACTGGTCTTACGGCTGCACTCACAACCTACCCCCAGCACAAGCCATTCGTTCCTCGCCTGCATGAGCTTTTTGGGTGTGTTGTTGCAGCCGTTGTTAACCGCCACGGAGGGCGCAGTGTATGTGGTTAAAGAGAGCTTCACACAAGCCATCTCTCCTCCCTGACCCCCTCACCAACTCACCTGCATAAGCCTTTTGGGTATGTTGTCGTAGCCGTTGGTAACCACCATGGTGGGCGGGTTGTTGCTGTGCATGTGGTTAAACAAAGCTTCACACAAGCCATCTCTCCCCCTTCCTGCCCCGTTCCCAACCTCACCTGCATGAGCTTCTTGGGTATATTGTCGTAGCCGTTGGTAACCACCATCGTGATCGGCGAGCCTCACTCAACCCCTCACCTCCCCCCCCTTCCCTCCTCCTCGCGCCTGTCCACCTCACCACCTCACCTGCATGAGCCCCTTGGGTATGTTGTCGTAGCCGTTGGTAACCACCATCGTGATCGGCGAGTCTCACTCAACCCCTCACCTCCCCCCCCCTTCCCTCCTCCTCGCGCCTGTCCCCCTCACCACCTCACCTGCATGAGCCCCTTGGGTATGTTGTCGTAGCCGTTGGTAACCACCATCGTGATCGGCGAGTCTCACTCAACCCCTCACCTCCCCCCCCCTTCCCTCCTCCTCGCGCCTGTCCCCCTCACCACCTCACCTGCATGAGCCCCTTGGGTATGTTGTCGTAGCCGTTGGTAACCACCATCGTGGTCGGCGAGTCTCACTCAACCCCTCACCTCCCCCCCCTTTCCCTCCTCGCGCCTGTCCCCCTCACCACCTCACCTGCATGAGCCCCTTGGGTATGTTGTCGTAGCCGTTGGTAACCACCATCGTGGGATCTTCAAAGGCGAGCGAGTCATAGTACCACGCAGAGAGGTGCGAGAGGGCCGTGCCGTAGTTGAACTCATAGTCCACCGCCAGGCGGGACTGCAGGGGGAGAGAAAATGCAGAGGAGAAAACACCGGGTGAATAGGTGGGTGGGACTGATGTTGTAGGACAAATCGTGCTCCTCCCACGCTGCCAAAGTTGAACACGTAGTCCACCGCCAGGCGGGACTGATTGGGGTCCAGAGGCGGGACTGATTGGGGTCCAGGCGTGGGGATTAGGGTTCAAGGATAGGCGAAAAAATAGCTTCAGAGGTGGGAAGGGGCCGTGCCAAAGTTGAGCTCCTAGTCCACTGCCAGGCGGGACGGAGCATGGGAAGGGATACGTGTGGATGGAAGGGATTGCAGGGGTTTGGGGGAGACAGAGAGGGTGTGCAGTTGGCAGGCAGAAGGGGAGAGACTCAATCAAAGTACCACGCAGAGAGGTGCGCAAGGGTGGTGTGGTACCAAAGTCGAACCCCCTCTCACTCGCACTCTCACTCTCACTCTTTCTCACTCTAACAGTCTCACTCCCCCTACCTGCACGTAAGGCTTCATAAACAGTTGTCGCCTCCAGGGGGTGCTGGTGAACGCCTGCTGCAGCGTCACGTCCTTGTCCTGCTTGTTGGCCCACGCCAAGCCTTGCCGTACCAGCGTCTGATACTGCCGCTCCGATGCCGCCCACCCTTTCTCCCCGTAAGGAATCCCATTCGCCGTGTACTGTATTTCCCGCCCGTTCTGCTGCCCAATTTTGAGCTTGAAGCGCCGGGCTAGGGCGGTAACCGGGTTACCTGCGACGTGTGGAAAGGGAAGGGCAAGCAAGCAAGCATAGGGAATGGGAAAGGAATAAGGGAGGCTCAGACACACGAGACGCAGGGAAGGGGAAGGGACGAAGAACTGCTCAGGGTTGGTGGAGTGGTACAGGAAATGCTCAGGGTTTGCCAAACATAATAAAGCTGGACACAGGCAGATGGACTGTCAGTGCAGTAACCATGTTTGGCAAAACTGGTGACTAGAGCCAGCCGGTGGAAACAGTAACTTGGTCAGTGAGTGGCAGCACACCAGGTTACCTGTGGCGCCTTCAAGCCCATCATCTAGTAACCTGGTAACCTGGTTGGCGAGATTGGTAACCAGGTCATTCGAGAGTGACTGCACACCAGGTTACCTGTTGCGTCTTTTAAGCCACTGAGCGCCCTTCCGCTAGTCATGGTTCCCTCTCTCAGGAGTGGTGGGACGGAACCGGCAGGGGCACCATTAGTAATGGTAACCTGGTCAGTGGGATTGGTAACCACCAGGTCGACTGAGGGTCCTGTTGCACCCTCAATCCACTGCGGGCCCATCTCGCCTTTCACTCAGGAATGTTGTAGGAGATTCGGCGGGGTGCAAAAACAAAGCTGAAAACCAGGGCAGGTGCATTGGTATCCAGGTCAATTAAGAGTGGTAACCGGGTTACCTGTGGCGTCTTCAATCCACTGCGCGCCCATCTCGCCTCTCCGGGGGCCATGGAAGAGTCGGCAGGGGCACTAAAGTGGAGACAACCAGGGCAGGTAAATTAGTATCCAGGTCAATAGAGAGTGGTAACCAGGTTACCTGTGACGCCCTCGATCCACTGCGTGCCCATCTCGCCTCTCAGGGAAGCCGTGGGAGAGTCGGCAGGGGGGGCTAACAATGCTGAAAACCAGGGAAGGTACATTGGTAACCAGGTAAAATGTGAGTGGAAACCGGGTTACCTGTAGCGCCCTCGATCCACTGCGCGCCCAGCTCCCCTCTGAAAAACGTTGTGGGAGAGCCAGCAGGGGCGGCCTCCGTTCGGCTCCACATGCGCCCGCCCACCCTGTTGCGCGCCTCCACCACCGTCACCTGGTGGAGGGGAAGGAGGGGGGGGGGGGGGGGGGGGGGAGGGGGAGTCGGAGATGGTTACAAACATCGCAGCACCACTGTCACCTGGCAGGAAAAAAAAAGGGGGGGGGGGGGAGGGGGGGGGGGGGGGGTAGGATATGGTATGGTCATCTGCCTTGCATGCGCCCGCCCACTCCGCTGCGCGCTTCCACCACTGTCACCTTGGGGAGGGGGGGAGGGGGGGATGCGATAGTGTTGGGGGGAGTGGAGTGGGGGGGTTCGGCTTCGCATGCGCCCGCCCGCCCTGCAGCGCGCCTCCACCACCGCCACCTGGTGAAGAAGGGGGAGCGGGTGGGGGGTTGGCGGAGTGGGGGGGTCTCATCATTCCCGTAGTTTGGGGAAGGGTCAGGCTGGGACGGAAACGAACGAGCCGAAGACGACGAAAAAAACTGAAAATGCCCCGGAGAAACCTACCTCAAGCTGGACACACCAAAACCACGAAAAACATCGACAACAACCACACAAGAAAGAAAGAAAGAAATCTTCAGTGACCAAAAAACAAAAACAGAAGCAAAAAACTGCTTCAGAACGCGCAGTGCCGGTACGCTGACGCGTTCAGCGTCTGCACCTTGAAGCACTCGCCGTTGGTGGTGGCGATGCGGTGAGCGGCCGACACGCCCGACATGCCAGCGCCCACAATCACCACCTGCCGCACGCTCGAGCACGCCGCGTGTGCCCCCACGGCCAGCCACGCCAGGACGAGGAGGAGAAGCGGCGCGGCGAGGAAGGAGGAAGAGGCGGAGGAGGATGACGAGGAGGAGAAACCCTGCTTGCTCTGGCGGAAGGCACGACAGGCGCCAGGGCTAGTAGTACTGGTAGTAGCAGGCGCCGAGCCTGCGAACTGCGACGGTGCGTCGCGAACCCGCGGCGGCGGCATTGCGACGATGGTCCGACGACGTGGAAACGGACGACCTTCTTACTAGGTAACGGCGGAATTGAGCGACAATGGCCGTCAGTGGGCTAGTAACAATGCACGCAATAGAGGAAGGCGTTCAGGGTTACGGCGACGACGACGACGTCACGTCGCTGATACGGTTTTTGGAGAGCCTAGTACTACGCTGTATCAGTCGCCTTGTGAAGTGGTGTTCTTAGCTCGAGCGAAGAAGCGAGAGCGAAGTGGACCTCTATCTCCATTTCGTGACCATCGAGGTGGCTTTTGAGTCGACTCAAAAGTCACCATCCCTGTCTCCGCACCGCAAGCAGCCGAAAGCGGCTGTGTGGCTGTGTGGCGTGGCGCCGCGGGATGAAGGACCAACCATGGGGAATGTCGATGGCCTGAGGCATGTTCGGATGGCTCAGTTATGATCTTCTATGGATTTCTCCAGGCGCCCACACCCTCAATCAGATTTTGGAAAATTCATGGGCGGCCTGGCCACACTCCCCGCTCGGCTCATCCTGTCTGCGTGGTACTGTACAGTGAGTACCCGTTACAATCGCCAGCCACTCATCGAGCACGTAATGCGCGTCTCCTCCACCCAGCACTCCCCCGACCAGCAGACAGACCGGTTCGGTGGTGCAATCGTGCTGCGCTGGAGCAAGCAGAAAAGCATTTCGCCACGGGAGGGATTGGAATGGGGAAGTGTGGGTCTTGCGAATTGCGACGACAGGCGAAATTTGTCTAACGAACTCTGACGACCACCAAGCTCAAAACGAACGCTAGAAAATAGAAAACATCAACACCAGTACAGCAGTACTCCGTTTCATCGTAGTTGGGTGCATGAAACGTAGACACCAGTTATTGCATCCAGATATTGATACACTTCAATCTCATATTTTTTACCAGGTTCTCTATTAGCACTGTAGCCCATGGCTGCCATGCCACCTTCATCATTAGCCCATGGCAGAGTCTTTCAGGTGGGATGTATTCCCAAGTATTGGCTACACAAAGGCTTGTGACTGGTTGGAACAGGGCGACTCTCATTGGCTGCCTTCAGCCTCCTCCAGCTTCTGCACATGCGCCTTGAGGGTCAGGATCAAGTCACGAGCAGGCGCCTGCATTGGGTGGGGGGGGGGGGGAGAGAGGGGGGGGGGTGTTGGGGGGTTAGGGGGAGGGAGAAGGTGGAGGAAAAGGTTCAATACGATGTGATACTGATAAGCATCATAACTTGTTGCTTGTCTGCACATAGGCCTTGTGGCCAGTTTTGAGACGTTTCAAAACGAGTATCAGGTTACAAGCAGGAAATGGAGGACAACATCTAAACATCTATGCAAATGAAGGGGACAAGACTGCTTGAATGTCGGCAAATGGGCCTAGTGGCGAGATACCAGGTCAGGAGCAGGGGGGGCAGCATACACCACCAAACATAAACCGCCCACATGCATATAAACACAGACACACAACAGCATCCACCTGGAGAGTTGAGAACCACGTCTCTGGCAACCAGCAGCTTGGACTACACCTTGGCCTGGCTAGGCAGCGCCTCACTCACACACAGCACTCGCACACCCACTCAGACACATGCACAGGCAGGCCCCAGATACACAGACACTCTAGCGTACCTGAAGAGTCGAAACCACGTCTCTGGCGGGCGACTGCATAACGCCCAGCAGCTTGGAGTACACCTCGGCCCGGCTAGGCAGCGTCTCGAGCGCGGCCATGTCCTTTGGGCCGTAGAACTTGCCCTCGAACACCGCGCCAGTGAAGTCGTTGTCCTCCAGCTTCAGCTCCTTCTGCATCTCCCTGGCGGGGGGAGGGGGGGCCGGAGGGGGGAGGGGGAGGGGAGGAGGTGTTTGGAAAACAGCAGAAAGGAAGGATTGGGGGGGAGTGGAAAAGTGGGGGAAAAAGTAGGATTGGGAAACAGTGAGGTGGAGGAAGTAAGGAAAGGGAAGACAGCTTCAGCTCCTTCTACAAGTCCCTGGGGTTGGAGGGGAGAATGAGGGAGGAGGTGGGGCACAGTGGAGTGGGAGGGGAGGGCGAAAGCAGACCAGGGAAGGGGAGGGTTAAGCCTGAGATCGTTGAGTATGAAGTCGTTAAGCCCCAGCTTCAGCTCCTTCTGCATGTCCCTGCGGCGGGGAGGGGAGGTTGGGAGACAGGAGGGAAGGGCCGCAATTCCAGCAAGGGGTTTTTTTGGGGGGGGGGGGTGTGACGTCATAAACATCTAGTTTCAGCTTCTGCATGCGAATGAGTATGTGATCACAGCGCACTTTTTAGGCGCCTTAAAAAAAAGCTCCCCATATGTGGGAGACAGGGGGAGAGGAGGGGCTTCCTGCAATTCTTGTTAGCGTGAAGTCGTTACTATCCAGCTTCAGCTGCTTCTGCAAGCAAATGAGCATGTGTCTTTCTTTTCTTTTACATTTTTGCTAGAATTATTGTATGGGACGGCATCGCCTGACTGTACGGATGGCCGGTAGCCTGAAGGGTTGGAGTGCGTGGGCTCCCTGAATGAATCGAAAAAGGGGCGGAGTTGGGCGGGCCCCTCGAATGCCTTAAGGGCTTGAGGGGAGGGGGGTGGTCTCTCGAATAACTGAAGGCTTGAGAGCAGGGTGGGGGTCTCGCGAATACTTGAAGGCTTTAGAGCAAGGGGGGGGGGGGCTCTCGAATACCTGAAGGCTTGAGAGCAGGGGGGTTCTCTCGAATACCTGAAGAGAGACCCCCCCCCCCCTGCTAAATAAGTACCTGAAGGGCTTGAGAGCAGGGGGGATCTCTTCACTACCTGCAGGGCTTGAGTGGGTGTGCTACCTGAAGGGCTTGAGCGCAGGGGGGATCTCCTCGGCGTGCACGAAGAGGAAGGCGTTCATCCCCGTCATGGCGGGCTTGAGCGCCGCGAACTCCGTGCCCTCCATCGCCTTCTCCAGTAGCGAGTTCTTCATCACCACTAGCGACGCGCTCTCGGGAAGCTTCCTGCGAAGGTCCGACATCTGCTTCACCTGTTGATGGGGGGCAGCAGCAGGGGGGAGCAGGCGGACGAAAAGAAATCTGGTTTCGTTTCACGGAGACATGGGGGAAAAACCTTGCTGTGGTTTGCCCCTACTATTTTGAGTCAGACTCAAAATACACCTGGTTTGCCCCTACTGTTTTGAGTCGACTCAAAATACACCTGGTTTGCCCCTACTATTTTGAGTCGACTCAAAATACCTGGTTTGCCCCTACTATTTTGAGTCGACTCAAAATACACCTGGTTTGCCCCTACTAACGGAGACTGGGATAGCTCGAGCGTCGCGAACGGGCGAAATTGGCGTAGAACTCGATAGGACAAAACCCTATCCCAGGCATCTAAAACGCCGCATCGCCCAATGCCCGAGCCAGGCATCTAGAACGTGCGGGTGTCGCTTTCCATGACCGCCTGCTAGGTCGCCTCGCAGAGACAAGTCACGCTTATGCGACCTGTAACGGCTATCGATTCGCCTAGCAATCCTGCTTCTATGCTTCTACCTCTCGGCTCACTATCCGCTCCAACTCTTCTCCCCCCGGCTTTCCCCCAGCTTCCCCTCGACTTCCCCTCGACTCCCCCTCGACTTCCCCTCGACTCCCCCACGACTTCCCCTCGACTTCCCCACGACTTCCCCTCGGCTTTCCCCTCTGCTTCCCCGCATCTTCCTCCATCGGCTTCCCGTCCGCCCCCCTCCGATCTCCCTCGGCTCCTCTTCGGCTCCCCAGCGGCTCCCCTCCCGCCCCCCGTTAGCTCCCCCGGCCACTATCGTAATCGATTCCGTTATCATTCCGCTTACCGCCATCTACATTTCATTCCTAGGTTCCGGGCCCCCTCGGCTTCTCTCCCCGCTCCCCGTTCCGTTCCCCCCTCCGCTCTCCCTTCCGCTCCCCCATCCGCTCCTTATCGACTCCCCCTCCTCCCTCCCCCCTGCTTCCTTCACCTCTCTCCCCGCATGCATGCACGCGGCTGCTTTCGCGACCTAGGGAAACCATATCGAGCCGTCCTCGACTGATAAAACTCGCTAACATCCGCTTCGAAACAGTTTCCGACCTAATTGTAGTATCCGCCAAATCTTGAATCAGCAACAACACGCTTGCCCTGAACCCCGAACACCTGCGAAACAATGCCTCGGTCTCCCATCAACTGTTCCCGCTTGCGCCGCCATTGGTCCGCGATAATCGCATGTACCGTCGCTAGCGCTAATCGATTCGAGAAACGCTTTAGCCAACGGAAAGCCCTTGCGGAATTGCCCATCGTGAATCGCCTGTGGTTGACGCTGGCGACAGTTCTCGAGCAGCTTCGTATTCCAATCCAAGAACAATAACAACTTCCAGCGAAAATCATAGCGAATCTGGTTACCGTGAATCGCTTGTAGTTGATGCTGGCGACAAGGCTGCAGTTCTCGAGCTGCTGCCGGGCCTTCTCCACCGTCTGCTCCTTCTTCTTGCGCGAGATGGCCATCTCCACCTGCAATGAGCAGGTCAACGAGGACAAAGAGAAAAGGTCTGCTCCGTCTGCTTCAAAGAAAAAAAAACTGATTTGTCCACTCAACCGTCTGCTCCTTTTTCTTGCGAGAAATCGCAAGCCACAATGGGGGATAAATTTGGCATAAGTGCGACTTGAATGCACAAGTACAGGCAAGCCTTCTCCACCGTCTGCTCCTCCTTGCGAAAAAACACCACCTCCACCTGCACGCTCAAGCAGATCCGTAAAATGAGGAGCTTTAGGCCAAGATGTCAGGATACAAAGTGATTCGAGGAGTGGAATATGACGCAAGGACCCCACGCCAGAGCCGGGAGGATTTGACTGGAGACGGGAGAGAATTCGGGTCCTTGTGCTGAGAGGTCCTACCGAAGGAACGGTGGCACACGATGGGTGGGGTGAGAAAACATGACGGATGTATCAGACGGGAAGAAAAGAGCAATGCGCGTTGTCTTCATAACGGGTGTGTCATAAACACGTTCAAGGAGGTTGGTTCGGCAAGCCAAGTGAGACACGTCTCTCCTCCGCGAGTGAGGTGGCAGAGACAGCGCGAGACGAAGCCTGCACGTTAACCTGCCAATCATGGAATGATGGCTAACGGAGAATGTAGGCATTGCTCACCTTGGGCATCCTAGAGCAGACGGCAGCATCTCTCCTGGCAGGAAGGCTCAAGGACGTCCGGCTTCCCCAGAAGTCGCTGCGACAACGAAGCAGAATACAGGCGGGGAACAATGCGAGATCAGCCTGACGTGCTGTGCGACAGCAAGGTGACGATATAAGTTTAGCAGGCAAGGACTAGGGTTATCTCAACTGTTGGGCTCTCTGAATGGTGGAGCAGGAAAGCCAACAAGAAAAAAACTAGCTAAGATCGGAGGACCGCTGAGGGACGTGCCTGGAAGACTTTTCCAACGACGCGTTAGGCGCCGAGGTGAGAGGGGTCAACGCGAGAGACTGTAGGGCAGCCATGGCGAACCCTAATCTGGGTTATGTCTGGAAGCGACTACGTAGTACTGCCCTAAAAGTGGTCCCTTGTGTGAGGCCCAGGAAAAATGAAGGGAGAGGTAGTCACAACTTAGTTCGTACCTCCATTCCAGGGTGGTGTTGATGGAGCCAGCAAATCCGAAGGTAATGAAGGTGCATCCTGAGTTGCGATTTTGGAAGAGTTATCGTACTGGAACCTACTGTATCGCACAGACCCCGAGTCTACTATGCCAGACCGAGCTGCACCGAAAACTAATCACGAGGATGCCGAGGGGAACGCGTGGTAGGATGTGGTAACCAGTGACATACTATCGATGTTACTCGATGTGCGCTTGACGAAAGAAGGGCGTGATGACATGGCGGCGATGGCAAGTGATGGGGTGCGTGGTTGGTTGTGTTTGGTATCACTGCTGGCGCAGTGAGGACCCGCCACGATAGAGTTTGTGTCGGTGTGGTCAGCCAGACTGGATAGGGAAAAACCCAAACCCTGTTTTTGGGCTTCGCGTCTCACCTTCTGAATATTCTAGATTTATTGGAGGGAAAGCTAGTTCGCTTGGTTCCTTTTGCGTAACAGCTGGAAAGTGTATTCCATGTCGACTTGGCTGGTTGTCAGAGTTCGGTAGGTCAGAAGGATTCGCGGGCTATTTCGTCCGTCGTCGCAATTCGCAGGAACCCCCCTCCGCTGCCGTGGCGAAAGTGCTCCCTTGCCTGCGGTTCCAACCAACCACACCACCGACACGGCCTAGAGACGCGCAAGGTGAGGGACGATTGTAACGGGTGCACCACTGTACAATGCTGTGTAGTGTACAGTACATGCCGCGCTTTCAAGGCAAGCACGACGTGGGGGTGCCAGACGAAAACGGAAGAAAACCCGATTAGCCTCTGCGACATTCCCAGTCCCATCGGCATTTCCGATGCCGCTGGGCCACACAGGCAGGCTGCCACTTCCGCTGCGAGCGGCGACAGGCAAGCGTACAAAATGGAGGGGCACCACTACACCACACGCAGAATAGTTCTCCTTCCTTCACTCAAGCTAGGGACTAAACTTCAAGCGACCGTTTGATCACGACTCGCTTTCAGAAACGTCGTTGTCACACCCGAACCGCCTCCCCGTGCTATTACCGACACCAGTATCACCCGTGAAGAGACGACTCCAGCTCCTTTGTAACGTCGACTCGCCGTCGCAATGTCCTCGCCACGGGTTCGCGAGCGTCGCAGCTTCAGCGTCGTGTCGTCGGTATCGTCGTTCGCATCCCCCCACTCCTTCCTCGCGGGACCGCTTCTCCTCCTCGTCCTGGCGTGGCTGGCCGTGGGGGCACACGCGGCGTGCTCGAGCGTGCGGCAGGTGGTGATTGTGGGCGCTGGCATGTCGGGCGTGTCGGCCGCTCACCGCATCGCCACCACCAACGGCGAGTGCTTCAAGGTGCAGACGCTGAACGCGTCAGCGTACAGACGCGGAGTGCGTAGAATGTGTGGCCTCTCCCACGTGTTCCATCACGACGATATATGCCCACTGGTCAACACTCCTGCCCCCCCCCCTCCTCCCCCCCCTTGTTTTCCCCTACCCCCTCCCCTCCTCTAATCCCCCCCTCCCCCCTCTCCCCCTCCCAGATGGCGGTGGTTATTTTGCGCAGCAGGTGGGCGGGGCCTTGTGGAGCCGAACGAAATGTCAGACTCCTCGCCAGTCCTCTCATTGCGTGCTCTCCCCCTCCTCCCTCCGGCCCCGCAGGTGACGGTGGTGGAGGCGCGCGACAGGGTGGGCGGGCGCATGTGGAGCCGAACGGAGGCCGCCCCTGCTGGCTCGCCCACTACGTTTTTCAGAGGGGAGATGGGCGCGCAGTGGATCGAGGGCGCTACAGGTAACTTGTCCTGGTTACCACTCTAAATTGGCCTGGATATTTGATGTCGCTACCCAGGTTACACTTCTATCAGTGGCCCTGGCGGCTCTCCCACGGCCTTCCTGAGAGGCGAGATGGGCACGCAGTGGATCAAGGGCACTACTGGTAACTTGGTTACCACTCTCAGTTGACCTGGTTACCAGTCTGCTTGCCAGGGTTATCAGCACTGTTGGTGACCCTGTTGGCTCTCCAACAGCATTCTCTAAGGGAGTTGGGCGCGCGATGGATCGAGGGCGCTACAGGTAACCTGGATACCACTCTCACAGAGTTTGACTGGTGCCACCCACCCACTGACCTCACAGACTTCGATGCCAGAATCCACTGGCTTCCGAAATTCGCTGATCTTGCTGCCAACCTTCCAATTCTCCAGGCGCCTGAAAAAAAGTACCCAACCAATCTTCCAATGCGGTTACGATTCTCTGGAATTCCACTCCTAGAACCCGCCATTCCCAGCTTGCAGGTAACCTTGCTTACACGCTAGCCGGTCGGTTCAAGCTCAGCATGCTCCTTCATATTCATTCTTCCTGCTACAGGTAACCCGATTTACTCGCTAGCCCGGCGCTTCAAGCTCAGCATCGGGCGGCAGAACGGGCGGGAGATACAGTTCACGGCCAATGGGAAGCGTTACGGGGACGCCAGGTGGGTGGCAGCGGAGGCGCAGTATAAGACGCTGGTGCGGCAAGGGCTGGCGTGGGCGTGGCGTCAGAATAAGGACGTGACTGTGCAGCAGGCGTTTACGAGTGGGCCGTGGAAGCGACGTATCTTTCAGACGCCCTACGTGCAGGTAGGGGTATGCAGGGGAGGCGGGGAGGGCGTGGAAGGGGCGGGAGAGAGAATGGAGACAAGGTGCAGATGACTATGGCAAGGGCTGGTGTGGGCGTGGGTGTGGCCGTGGCGGCAGAACAAGGACGTGGAAGCGACGTATCTTCCGGACGGCCTATGTGCAGGTAGGGGAGAGAGAGGGCAGAGGGGGGGTGAATGGGAAAAGTGGAGGAGAGCACGATTGTGGCAAGGGCTGGCATGGGCCAACCGACAGGACAAGGACGTGACTCTGCTGCAGCAGGCGCTCACCTGTGGGCCTTGGTTGGAAGCGACGGCTGTTCTGGCCGGCAGCCTTACGTGCAGGTGGGAAGGGAAGGGCAGAGTTGGCGAGTGAGGGAGGTCAGGGTGCGAGGCAGGGTGCAGATGCGAGAAGAATGACTATTGTTGACTCAAAAAGTGTCATGTGACATTGTAACGAGGTGACTTTTGAGTCGACTCAAAAGTATCCTAGGGGGAAGGTGAGGGTGCGAGGGAGGGTGCAGACGAGAGAAGAATGTGGGTGGTGTTGATTCCTCCTGTGCTTCTCTGCAGTCGCGCCTCTCAGTGGACTACAAGTTCAGTTTCGGCACCGCCCTCTCTCACCCTCTCACCCTCTCACCCTCTCACCCTCTCACCCTCTCACCTCTCACCTCTCACCTCTCACACTCACTCCTTTATGGACTAAATCTTGTACCTTTCGCCCGAATTCTACCTCCCCCATCCCCCCGCAGTCGCGCGCCTCTCAGTGGACTACGAGTTCAATCTCAGCACCGCTCTCTCTCCCACCTCTCCGTGCAGGGTACCACAACTCACTCCTTCAAGCCATCTTCTGCATGCCCTCACTCCGTCCATGCCGCCCTCTGCATGCCCCCACGCCTTCAAGCCCGTGCATTCCCTTTTGGCCCACATTCTCTGTTCACCCCTCCTACCGCTTCTACCGTATCCCCCAGTCGCGCCTCTCAGTGGACTTTGAGTTCAATTATGGCACCACCCTCTCGCACCTCTCTGCGTGGTACTATGACTCGCTCGCTTTCAAGCCGCCCACAGTCGTGGTTACCAACGGCTTCGACAACATACCCAAGAAGCTCATGGAGGTGAGGGGGGGATGGCTTAAAGGGTGCTTTACTGTGCACTGGCAACTTCCAATCAAGTGGAATGCAACCAGCCGCCCATGCTGGTGGTTACCCACGCGTTTGACAACATTTCCAAGAAGCTCATGAGGTGAGGGAAAGGGGGGGGTGGGGGGGGTAAGAGGGTAGTGTGTGGGGTGGATGACAGCTCTTGAACCAGCCTCTCGCGGAAACCTTCCAAGGCTTGTGGTTATCATCCGCTTTGACAACATACCCAAGTAGCTCATGGAGGTGAGGGAGGGGAGAGGAGTGGCTCATTGCGAGCATCCTTGAACCTCTTGCACTGTAACAAGCCGCTGGTTGTTACCAATGGCTTTGATAACATACCCAGAAAGCTGATGGAGGTGAGGGGGAGATGGTGCAGGGGTACGTGGTTTGAGTGAGACTCAAGCATCAGGGTGGTGGCTACCGATTGCTTTGATGACATACCTAAGAAGCTTATGGAGGTGAGGGGAGATGGCCAGGAGGAGAGGTTGGGGAATGACGGGTTGAATGAGAAGCAACGAAAACAATGGTGGTTGATAACGGCTTTGATACCATACCGAAGAAGCTTATGGAGTTGCGGGGGGATGGAGGGGGATGGATGAGGCATGTGCGTGCTTTTCACAGGTTGGACCGAGGGCTGGCTCATCCTACAGTGGGGTAAAAATGCCCCGTGATTCCTCTCGTGCCTCATTTTGTCGTATATTTTACACGAGCTTGGAGCGCTATTTCCTTTCAAATTCCCCATTCTTCCTTTTTTTCTGCTCTGTTCGCCTCTCTTCGCTCTCTACTCTCACCTTTGCTCTCCTCACTTCACTCTTCACCCTCCTCTCGGCTCCATCATTCCCCCTCTTCAGTCCCCTCTCACCTCTCTGCTCTCCTCACTCCTCCCACTTCGCTCCAAACTCACCATTCACCCATCCCCCTCCCTCTCCCCCTCCCGCTCCCCCTCCCTCCACTCACCTACACCACAGGAAGCACAAACAGCAGGCGCTCAGCTCATGCTAAACTTCGAAGTGACCGACATCTCTCAGTCATCAGGTGCAGCACCCAAAGTCACGATCACCGGCAAGAACACCGCCACCGGCGCCACCACCTCCCTCACAGCTGACGTCGCTATAGTCACCATCCCCCTCGGCGTGCTTAAAGCCAACACCATCTCCTTCCAGCCGGCCCTCTCCGCCCGGAAAACGGGCGCCATGGCCCGCCTCGGCGTGGGCTCGATCAACAAGATTTTTTTCTTCTTCAACGAGACATTCTGGCCCGTCAACGTGGACGAATATTTCATCGAGGACGGGCAGCTGCCCAGGAATCGCGGGCGGTGGGTGGATTGGGTGAACCTGAAGCGGGCGTGGGGGCAGACGGCGCTGGAGGGGGTGGCACTGGGGGAGTATGCGGAGCGAATGGCCCAGATGACTGATGCAGCCGTGATCGCAGACGCCCAGGCGAAGATGCAGCGCATGTTTTCCCGGTATAGGAAGAAGCCGGTACAGGCGATAGCCACATGGGTGCAGCGGTGGAGCGACGACCCGTATGCGCGTGGCGCGTACAGCTATGCGCGGATTGGCGTGGCGGGGGACGAGGACCACTGCACGGATTATGATCGCATGGGGCTGCCTGAGGGCCGGGTGCTGTTTGCTGGAGAGCACACCATCTGGCAGTACCAGGCCACCGTGCACGGGGCGTATTTGTCTGGAGTACGAGAGGCAAAGAGAGTGCTGAAGTACTTCTGAGGGTGATGTCCAGAGGGCTACCATATGTCAGGTGGTGTGCCAGAAGGACTGCATGTGGCAGTAAGGACGCGGTGCTTTTAGGTTCAAACGAGGCTCGACAGCTGAACGAGCAAGAATACCACGCTATTATGCGTGGAACCACTCTGATTGCGTCTAGACCACCTTCCACCCATCTGTTGTTTTGAACCTGAGGTTCAGAAAACTTGCTTTCTCACAAAGGAACTGCATGCCACCGTGCATGGGGCATGGGGGATGGCAGTTTGGACATAGTATGGGAGAAAGGACGTGGGAGGTTCAGAGTAATCTGTTGTTGGAGTGTACACCCTCTGGCTTCATCGGATCGTAGAACACCATCCTTTTGAGTCTTTGCGTGAGACAATTCTGTCTGAGGATTAACCATTTAGACTAGCCAAGATGATGTGAATGCACATACAGAGAACGCTGTGGATGTTGTCAGTGGCTGCTGTGAGTGTTGAGAGTGTGACTACAGTGGATGCTGTGACGGTATGGTGTGGGCATGGTGTGACTGCTTGGGTCTCCATGATGTGAATGTGTTGTTCACGCTCGTTTGAGGTGACACAAATCAACTCGGCATGTGTGTGCGGAGACAGAACCGAGTCAGGCTCTGTCAGGGGAAATCAATAAGCTACGCAGAGGAGATCAGAAACACAAGACATTTGATGCCATTTGAGCATAACTTGTTGAATAAATGCTAGTACACAAACTATATGTACATCAAGATTGTAGCATAGTCTACTCACTCGTCATCATCGTTAATGAACTTCCCTGTACCGGGATTGATCGCAGCAACGAAGAAAAATGCGATGCTCGCGAGCAGCAGCGGCTCGAGCTCCCAAATGGGCACGCCAATTTCGACATTCAACTGCGCCAAAGCTCCCCTCCCCGTGATCACCTCGCCAATCAAACTCGCCGCAAACCCTAATTGCGCCAACCGCCCGACAAACAATTCGTTCGCCTTGGTAAACCCGAACAGAGGCCCATCCTCGCTGAGCCCGAGCGCTGCCTTGATACTGCCGGGCTTCACGGGTGGCCCGACCGGCTCGTCGTCCACGAATCGCCCGCGGTCGCCCAGCCCACCGATCGCGCCGAGCACGGTGAATGCGATGAAGAAGAGCAGCAGCGGCTCCGTCTCCGTTATAGGGATCCCCGTTTCGATGTTGAGCTGCGAGAGAATCCCAGCTCCAGTCACCGCCTCGCCGAGGAGAGAAGCCGCGAAGCCGAGCATGGCGACGCGCCCCACGAAGAGCTCGTTGGCTTTCGTGAAGCCGAAACCGCCAGATGTGCCGAAGATGCCGTCCTCTGTGCGGGTCTTGGTAGCGGGGACGCTCTTAGTGGGGACGGCGGCTTTGCGGGAACTGAAGAGGGCGGAGACACCGAGTCCGCGCGGCGCGGTTGGCGCAACGGCGGTGAAATTGGGTGAGGCAATCTGAGCACCTCTGACTGCGGTTCTGAAAGAGAGGGCGGAGAGCGCCTGACGAGCTACGAGTGCGGAAGCCATGGCGTTAGCTAGGACGATCGGTTCGAGAACTAATCAACGAGGAATAGGCGAAAAATTGCCAGTTGTATAATTCTCGCAGTGAAATTCTGAATTTGTACGGGCACTGATGAAATGCGAATCGAGGGGGTGGCATCTCCCCTCCGTCCACTTCAGCGCAGCGCACTGCACCTGGTGCAACTTTTTGGGAACCAGGAAAAAAAAGTCTTCCACGTGGCTGGATCTGATGCGCGAATTTCTACGAGAGACGTGGACAGCTCTGGTGCTCAGGATCAAGCACGGGACCGGCTGGGTGAATGAGTTGACTGACGACGTGGCTGAGTCGAAATGGCTAAGTGCCACTGACGTGGTTGCAGAAGCACAGTCAGCTTACGTGACAAGCACCCTTCACTGAACGAATTTGGTGGGCAGCCCGCCCAAGGTGTGCTGATGACTCTCGAACCTTGCGCTTTCAATTTCCATCCTGCCTCAACTCTGCGATACAGGGTTATAGAACAACAAAAATGCAATATACCGGTAGACGATTGGTTAATTACATTCTCAACATGTAGAGTGTTATGCATGAACAAGCAGAGTAGAGCGGAAATGAATAACAAAGTGTTGAATCGCTGAATGACGATACAAGGAAAGGCAAGCCAGGATATAGGAACACCAGAGCTAGTCTAACCATGAGATGTGAAGGTTCGGAAAGGAGATCGAAGGGCCTCGAAGTGACGAAGTGAGGCTCGGAGAACTCCTGAAGGTCGAGCAAGAAGGTGTGGAGAGGCCGATGCTGTTCTGTCAGAAAGGTCCGGAACCGTCCCGAGGCTTTGGGTGTGTTCGAGCGTAGCAGTACCACTCGGTAAGGAATGGAAAATTCCTTACACCACCCAACCCCCCCCTTAGCGAAGGTGATCTATATCAGTCACGTGCTTGCAGGCCAAATAATTCGTAAGTATCGAAGGTGACTTTACCTGATCCGAGGGCACCCACGTATCGTCCTCACTGGTACGATTTGTCCATCGTATCAGAAAGTCAACGTGTCGTTCTTGGCCGTCGATACGAATCCTATGGCTCAAAATCTTTCAAGGCTCGATGGTCGTCTCTGCTGGTGGCCGTACACCCGGGACCAATAGTTTTCGAGCGATGCCTGATGTGTCCGGTACGAGGGGTCGCAACAGGCTCATGTGGAACTTATTATGAATACCCCAATCCTCAGGTAGGCGCAACTGGTTGTCACCGGCGTCACAATCTTCATTATCTTGAATGGGCCACAGAAACGTGTGTCAACTTATACATATTTGCATATGTTTAGTTATAGGCTAGAAGGGCTAGTGCTCTTAGAGAGTACAACACCCAACCATATGTTCCTCTGTATCCGTCATTTCTATTCATTCTGCTATTCTAACATGGTATCATAGTAGGTTAGGTCCGCCGACCCGCTTCCGCCCCTCGCCCTAGCCTACCGCCCAAGCCTACCGCCCCGTCGTACCCTAGCCTTACCGCGCCCCGCCGGCCCCTAGCGCCCCACAGGCCCCTCGCGTAACCCCCCCCCGGCCCCTAGCGTGCCTGCCGGCCCTTAGCGCCCCACTGGCCCTCAGCGCAGCGCCGGCCCCTCGCGTACCCCGCCGGCCCCTAGCGGGCCTTGCCGGCCCTTAGCGCCCCGCCGGCCCCACTCGTGCCCTCCTGCCCCTCGCGTACCCCGCCTGCCCCTCGCATACCCCGCCGGCCCCATCGCATGCCCACCTGCCCCCCCATGCCCCCCCCCCCCCCCCCCCTGACCCTTCGCGCCTCGCCGGCCCCTCGCGTGCTCGCCGGCCCCTTGCGTACATTGCCGGCCCTCGCACACACTGCCGGTCCCTCGCGCGCCTCATTGGCCCTTCGCGCTTGCCGGCCCCTCTCGTGCTCGCCGACCCCTCATGTACCCCGCCGGCTCCTCGCGTACCTCGTCGGCCCCTCCAGTGCCCGCCGGCCCTTCGTGCCTCGCCGACCCTTAGTGCCCCGCCGGCCCTAGCCGCCTTGCCAGCCCCTTGAGCGCCCGCTGGCCCTAGCGCCCCACCGAGCCCTAGCGCTCCGCCAACCCTTTGCGCCCTGCCTGCTTGCTGCACGCCTCGGGCCCTGTGCGCCCTGCTCGGCCTTCCGCCCGGTCTTCCCGACGGAGAGTCCTGCCGCCACGCCGCTGTGCCGCCGTGGCGCTGAGTACCTGTGCCGCTGTGCCGCCGTGTCGATGTGCCGCCGTGGAGCTGTGACACAGAGGTTGCACGATGGCAGCCGCCGTACTCCGCCTGGACGCAGGGGGGCACGCGACCGACTTCGCCGCCTGGCTTGTCGATCTTCGCCGTCACCTGACAGGTCGGCGCCAGGATGGGCACTCTCTGGCTATGCATGTTCATGGCTTGCTTCCCCACCCCCCCGCGCCTGATCCCCTCCCTGCTGACCCCACCACTACTGAGCATAAGGCCTTCTCTGCTGCTGCGCTCGCTTGCACTGTCTGGGATTCCAACGATGCTGTAGCGCAGCTCGCCATTAGTCATGCCCTTCCCATATCTGAGCGTCCGCGCTTCACTACTATCGCGAACGCCAAGGATTTCATAGATGCAGTAGTTGCGCACTACTCCACACCCCCCCCCGCCTCTGCTGGCCGCTTGATCCTCCCCATGCTCTTCCCTGATCTTTTCGCTTTCCCCACTGTCGCTGACCTCGCCACTCACCTCCGTGCACTAGAGACTAGCTACCGTGGTGCTACCACTACCGCCAAGCTCACTGTCTTCCCCCCACCGTTCTGCAATACCCTGTACCTTATTGCCATGCGCCTGCCTGACCGCTTAGCCACTCCACCTAGCCACTCCCCTGTCTGAGATAGAGACTCGCCAGCGCCCTATCGTTCAGTCGAGTGGTGTTGCGGCAGTCCCTATCTTTCAGGGTTGTGCTCCCTCCCAATGCACGTACACTGACGTTTCCGTCGCGGTCGCTACAACTGCCCCTACCACTGAGACTGCAGCTGCGGTGTTCCCGCAGCAGCGACAACGTCGGGGCCGTCGTGGCCCCAAGGGAGGGCGTGGTGGTGGTAGTGGTGGTGGTGGTGGTGGTGGTGGTGGTGGTGGTGGTGGTGGTGGTGGTGGTGGTGGTGGTGGTGGTGGTGGTGGTGGTGGTGGTGGTGGTGGTGGTGGTGGCGGCGGGGGGACAGTGGTTCTGACGAGGGGGTTGGGGCTGGTGGCCAGGAGCAGCAACACCCACAGCAGACGCAGCAGCAGTCATCACAGCAGCAGCAACCCCAGAAACAGCCGCAGCAGCAGCAGCAGCAGCCGTGGGCCCACCTCCCGCCGGGGTGGTCAGGAGCCTCTGGAGGTGGTGGCCGCGGTGGCGGTCCTCGCAGCTCGGCGTCTACTGGTAGCTTTGGTGCTGTGAGCTGTCAGTACCAGCTCAAGACCGGCCCTCTCCGTGGCACTGTATGCCGCCACCCGCACCCGACCGCCCGCTGCTTCTGCGGCCTCGACGACCTCTTTCGTCGCCGCTTTGGCCCGGCCCCGGACCTCCCTGACTGGCCTAGTCTGCTGCGCCACGGTGTGCTTGTTTTTGAGTTAGACATGGATCATATTAGTTCTGCCCTGCATGCTATGTGTGTTGACGCTTCTAGTGAATCCGGATCTTATTACCCGGCGTTCTTTAGCTTAGGCGTAGCAGCTGCGTGTAGTACAGACTCCCCTGCTGCGTCAGGTATAGGACAGTTTGCCCTATCTACCTAGGCTCCACATTCGCTCCTCCTTCGACGGCCACTACTGCTTTGCTGTCCTTCACACTTGACTCCGGTGCGTTTGCCAGCTTCTTCCGCAACCACGCCGCACTCACGCCGCTTGCCGCGCCTGCCGCTGTCGCACTTGCTGACCCCTCCTCGGGTCCTGTCGTTGCTCGCAGCTACACTACCCTTCCCAGTCTAGCCGACCCCTCGGGTTCCCTTATAGGTTTGCACATCCCGTCGTTCTCCAGGAACTTAGTTGGTGTCGGCTGTCTTC